AATTCTTGACCCTTAGAGACTGTGAAATAATGAATATTTACTGTTGTTTCCAGTAGCTAAGTTTTGGGATACTTTGTTATACAACAGTAGATAATTAATACCCAGCTGAAGCAGTGCTGAAAGGGAAGTTTATAGCCCTCAATGCATATATTAAAGAAAAGGCTGAAATTCAGTGATTAGATGTATTTCTCAGAAAGTTAGAAAAAGAACAGGAAACAATTAAGGATGGAAAAAATAAGCAAAACAGTAAAGAGTATCAAAAAAGCCAGAAGTTCTTTGAATGAAATACTAAAAATGGTGTAAGACTGAGATTAATCTAGGATCAAAATAGAAATATCATAAATAACTATTATCATATTTGAAAAAGGGAATCACTATAGAACCTTCAGACACTGAAAAGTATATTTTAAAAGTTTTATATGGAAAATTTGAAAAAGTGAAATATTCTAAGACTGGCACAGAAAGAAATAAAATCTGAATAGACCTGTAACTATAAAGTGCATTGAATCTGTAGTTAAAATTCTTTCTCTGCCTGTTAGTATTTCTGTCAGAAATGTTTAACCTGAATCACATGAGGAAGCAGTCAGACAAATGCAAATTAACAGTTTATGACAGCAATCTATATCCTTCAAAAGCTTAGTTTCAAAAAGACAAAAGGTGGAAGAACTATTTTATAAGGAAAGTAAAAAATGTGACAAATAAAAATATGTGATTTGGATCCTGTCTTTAAGAGAGGAAAAAAAAAAAAAAGAAAACCTATAATGGACATCTGAGAAATTGGGGGAAATTTCAATATTAATTGTATATTAAATGTCTTGAGTCTTATAAATGTATTATGTAGGAGAATATCATTGTTCTTAGGAGATACATGCTGAGGATTTTAGGGTTGAAGTGTCATGATGTCTGCAACTTAGATTCAGATGGCTCAAGTCCATCCAGTAGCCAGGGGCAAGTGTGGCAAAATATTAACGATTGGTGAATCTTGGTGACTGGTATGTGAGTGTTCATTGTACTATTCTTGCAGCTTTTATGGAGATTTGAAATATTGCAAAGTGACATTTGGGGAAAATGAACAAACACTATACTATCACTGCAACTGTTCAACATTAGCAAGTACTACTAAGCAAGAAAAAACAAAAATGTATAAATATGGGAAAGAAAGAGAAAAAAATTCTCATTTTCTTTGTTTTGGCCGTGCTGTGTGGCATGTGGGATCTTAATTCCCTGACCAGGGATCTAACCCCTGCCCCCTTCAGTGAAAGCATGGAGTCCTAACCCCTGGACTGCCAGGGAAGTCCCCCAAATTCTCATTTTTCAAACAGTTTGATTACCTACTTGAAAAAGCCAAGAGAATCAATGGAAAATGCCTTGACAGATTTCAGTTTAATCTTACAATAGTTGTGGGACTAGATAGTGATAATGGCTGCAGAATATTGTGAATGTACCAAATGCCACTTAATTATACATTTTAAAATGGTTAAAGTGGTGAATTTAACGTTGTGTGAATTTTGCCCCCTCCTCCACTCCCCCATGGTAATAGCTCTGTCTAGAATGCACATGTGAGCACACAGGAAAGATTTGCATTTTAACAGTTAATAGGACAGCCTACTACCTTTATTTATTTATTTATTTATTTATTTATTTTTTGTTCACTTGTCGTTGATTCATTTTACATTGTGTTGCTGTTCCATATTAAAATTTGGACTCAGATTCTTTTAAACCACAACTACAAAAGTCATCCTGACAAAGTGATGCCAAATATATTAATTGGTGAAGAACTTGGTTTTGGGGTATGTTAAAGTGCTTAAGCAAATCATACAAACTACAAAGCACGGTGGAAATACATAAACAGTACTTGTTAATGACTAAATGAATAGAAAGGTTCACTTATTTCACAGGGTTTAGTAAAACTGCTTAGAAAACTCCTTATTTACAGTTAAAAGCATGTTTCTGGTAATTTCCTGGTGGTCCAACGGTTAGGCCTCTGTGTCCACTGCTGGGGGCCCAGGTTCCATCCCTGGTTGGGGAACTAAGACACTGCAAGTTGCACAACTGATTTGGATCTGATCCATAATCCACCAGGACATCAACTAATTTTGTAAGGCCTAATAATGCTGCAATAAAAAGCGCTGTCTGGCCCAGGGAGTTAACTGCATCAACATACACGCCGTTGCGGAGACTAGAAGTCCCAAATGAAGGTGTCATCAGGGTTCTGTTCCTTCATGGGAGCTCCGGGGACCATCTGTCCCAGGCCTCTCTCCCAGTGGCTGCCAGCAGTCCCTGGCGTTCCTTGGCTTGTAGACGCATCCCTCCAATCTGTCTCCGCCCTCACGTGGCATTCTCCTCTCTGTGTCTACCTTTAAATAATGCATTCTTTAATAGCAAAATAGAGGATCAACATACATTAAAGACTGCTTATTTTGCCACTGAATAAGTTGTAAAAGTAGAAGTTATTATGCTCTCAGGCACATGTTATATACTAGACAGTTACTCAGAATGTGATTTCAGGAAGACTGTTTTGACTTTGGAAGTAGACATGTGAGATTGCAGTACAGAATCACAAAGCCAAAAGGGACTGAGAAATTGCAGTTCTTACTGTTTGCTTTATTTAGAGATGCATGTTACAGTCATCGATGAGTAGCTTTGAGGGTGGTTAATAAAACATGACTATATGTCAGCGATACTGCATTTGAGGAAATGCTGTTACTTAGAAACAGTAAAAGGAAGGCTTCAAAAGTTAAAAATGCCTGTTGGGTACTAAAAAAAAAAATCTCTTAAAACGCAAACTTAAGAGGATTTACCTGGTGAATTCTATTAAAACCTGCTAGAACTACTGAGAGCTTAGTAAAACAGATAGATATAGGACCCATGTCCTAAAACCAACACTTTCTTATGAACCATCAATAATCAGTTTGCAAATATAATGAAAAAAATGCATAATTCACAATAGCAACAAAAGCTTCACATAGGAATAAACTTACCAGGAGATGGGGAAAGATCTTAAAAATAATGGCAGAACCTTGGGTGGTGGGGAGGGAATAGTCTAAATAAGTGAAAATGTCTACCATGCTCCTGAATCAGGAGATTCAATGTTGTAAAGCTGTCACAGCTCCAAATCATGGTGTAAAGTCAGTGTATTTACATTTGAAATCCCAGTTGCTTTGTTTTAATGGAACTTGGCATGTTATCAAGTTCATTTAGAAAGAGAAAGATAAGCACAAATCGCCAACCCCCCCCATCCCTCAAAAAAACAAAAAACCCTCAACTTTTTGCCATACTACATATTTAAAAATGCTTTAAAAGATGTTATAGAGAAAACAGTATAGTGTCAACCCAGGGCTAGACAAAGACATCAGTGAGACAAAATAGAGAGCAACAAGCGACTTGTGTATCTGTCATATTAAGTCACCTGTGTTCTAACTAACTTTAATTAAAATTCTTAAAGTACTCTGTGTTTGCAAGGTTACAGATTTTACCTTGTTGTTTTAATTAACAAGAATATCCAATTGTTAATATAATTTCAGTTATTACTTTTAATGGGATATTCTCTAAAACTCATTGTTAGTCCATATTCTGAAACATATCTACTTAGATGTAAATAATCACTTAAAAAAACCTTCATTTCATATATTTGAAGAGAAGGAGCTTAGAAGAAGCTTCGCTGAAGGAGTCAGAGGTTCAAATCCTCTCTCTCTCACAAAGTGTATATAACCTTGGGAAAAAGCATGAAACTGAGATAATAAACTATATCTCTCTGGCATGTTGTAATGATAAGTAAGTATGTAACTCATACGGAAAAACAAAACCAACCCATTTCTTCCCAACACTTCCTTTTCTCTTAATGGCAATACTGGTCTTCCTTTTGCTTAAGCTCCTTTATCTTGAATGTCTCATGAGTCAGCAAGTTGTGTTGCTTATTTCATGGAGGTAGGGGGTACTGCCATCCAGTTAACGTTCTTGGATCAATTGGATTGATTCTTGGTTCTTTATCTTATCTGTTCCTTTTCAATCAATATTGTATACTGCTGTCAGACAGATCTTTGGGTTGCCTTCAAGTGTTTTACTTGAGAGCTACAGTTAACCTCTTAACTTGGTGTTATTGGGTCCAGATTTTCTATCCATTTAACCCATTTCCATACCACTTCCAAAATGAACACTTAGTCTTATAGATCTTTCTGTTAACTATCACATATCACATTCCCTCTCACTTTTGTATTTTTGTTCATCTTATTCCTTTGCCTAGTGCGTTTTTCTTGTTTTCCTTATATTTTTCTGTCTTTTAAGCTGCCTTAAAAGCTGCCTTTGGTCCAGGATGTCTCTGGACCAAATTGATCTTGCTTTCTCTAGCTTGTTTGTGTAGCACAAATGTTAGCCCTGTTCTGAAGTTACGATATAATTTTTGTGTTTTCTTATAATACTTTTATGGTTTTGTTATTTAAATATTTAAAATGTTGATCACTTGGAATTTATCTTGCTTTACAGTCTGAAGAATGGATCCATTTTTTTCCCAGATTGTTGCACATTTGTCCCTTTACCATTTATGCATTTATGATCCATTGTTTCCTCAACTGATTGAGATGGCTCCTTTATCTTAAGTCTTGTGTATTAGGGTCCAGTTTGGACTTCACATTTTTCCATTGTTCATTCTGTCGTTGTGTACCTACTGTGCCCCATAGTTTTAATTAATTGGCTTTACACATTGGGTGTAATTAATTGGGTGTCCAATTAATTCACATTGATAGGACTAGATATTTCTCTTTGGAAAAGTTTTTCTGACTATTGTTAGTTCTGAAAATAATCATTTATTGAGATCACTTTACATTTACAAATTAGAGATAGACTTCATTTTTTACAGGTTATGAGTTTTCACTGCAATAATATTACCTATGTTTTGGATTTCTTGTGTTTTACTTAAAGTGTTAGTTGAAGTTAACTTTGAAAAACTCTTTAACTTCAGTAGCAGCTCAGGAAGCTGAATTGTAAATGTTATTCCTTTTTAGTTTAGCCCAATGGCCAAAGGCTCTCAAAGATACATGGTCTCTACTGGTGCTGATGGGACAGTTTGTTTTTGGCAGTGGGATTTAGAATCCCTGAAATTCAGGTAAGTGACTTTAATTGTGTAATAAGTTTTCTTTTTTAATGTTGTTACAGTTTAGTCTAGTGAAATGAAATCTGATTATAAAGAGAAATTGTGTATTGTGGTTCCCTTTTTACTTTTGAATTTAATTTTTGTTATATACAGCATATGTGCCATATTGACTACTGTTTACACTGTACGATTTAGATAGTTGGATATGTAAAAGGAGCATAGCCATGCTGTCTTAGTGGGCACATTTTCTTGAAAAAGAAAAAGTGATAGTATATATGTGAACATTTTGAAAAATGTTAGAAATGTATAATTACATAGGCAGAAATTTAGGAAGGATCATTTAAGAATCAGACCTGGATCATAGCCCTGCACTGCCCAGTGTGTTACCCGCTAGCCACATGTCTCTATTGAGCACTTCGGGTGTGGCTAGTGCAATTGAGGAATCGAATTATTAATTTAAATTTAACTGATAGGATTCAGTTATTAAAAAACTTTTAAGCATATTTCAAACAACTTGAGTATGTGAATTTAGTTTTTCAGCTATAAGTTTTATGAAATCTGAGTACAGATCAAGTATTTTTGATGAAAACTGTTCAAATTGAGATGTATTATTAGTGTCTAGTATGATCTGGAAGATTTAAAAGATTTAATATGAAAGAACCTAAAGTTCTCAATAAAATTTTATTAACATTGATATGATATTTTGGATATATTGGTTTAAATGAAGTAAAACTAATTTTATCTTTTTACTTATAATGTGGCTACTAAAAAAACCCTAGTTTTATCTTTATACTTATGATGTGGCTACTAAAAATTTAAAGTTACACGTGTGGCTCGCATGCCCTTTCTGTTGGACCATGCTATCACCTGGTGGTTCTGCATCCTACTCTGCGGCCTCGATAATGGATTCTCTCACACTGTCTGAGCTTTAGTCACCTAAGTTACAGAACAGGGGTTAGTAGGCTTGCTCTTTCTGTATACTATGTTCTGTATAAGTTTGGGGATTGGACAGTCCTCTGAAATCCATCCAGCTATAACAGCATATGTGGAAATATTTGGTATACTGTGAGGTACTAGAAATAAGATTATAACATTTAAATATGCTAGATTAAAACCAATATTTTAAACCATGTTAATGTGCTAAACTAATGTATTTTAAAACATCTTCTTTTCAAGTCCACGGCCCCTGAAGTTCACTGAAAAGCCTAGACCAGGCGTTCAAATGCTTTGTTCTTCTTTTAGTGTTGGTAAGATAACTTCAGTGTTTTTTTCTCAGTTTTATTTTAGCATTTTGAATGACCGCATTATGAGAGAGAGCTGGCAGAAAGGAGGCTTAGAGTGTCCATATGAGCAATTCTTGTGCCATGTGCCCTGTGGGTATGATGAACCAAGAATGTGGTTCTTTTAACTGAACTGCATGTTTTTGGTAGTTTAAATTTGTTTTCCACACATCTTGTGAAATTATTCTCCATTTTCTTGTACAGTGGACCTGTGTGAAACCTTTCTTTTTGGGAGAGGTCAAAGATCTTTCCCCATAGAAGTCTGAAAATTTGAACAAGTGAACTTTATATTCCAAAGCTAGGTTTAGGTGTGTAAAGCTGTTCGGAAAGCAGAGCCCCTTTTCATGCATTTTCAGAGCCTCAGCATCTTAAAGTCATTGTCACAACTAATAAAACAGAAGGAGATAGTGAACATTTCCAGACTGAATTAACTTTTAAAAATTAAGCCTCATTTGATGTGTGCTTCCTGCCCTCCCCCCGCCCCCCACCCCAGCACCACCAAACAATTCTCCGACACTAGTTGGGTGTCCTATAATTCAACTCAATTCTGACACTACCTACCTAGAGAATAGTGTGAGATCCCACAGCTTAAGGGCTCAGTCCTACAAGATGCCCCACCTACCCCCAGCCTCAGACCAGGTTGTCACCTGTGCTTCTGACTGATGGGCTATATAGAGCAGAGATTCCCACAACTTCCTCCCTCGGTTTGATTAATTTGCTAGAGCAGCTGACAAAACTCAAACATTTTACTCACTAGATTTTCGGTTTATTATAAAAGGATATAATTCAGGAATAGCCAGATGGAAGAGCTGCATAGGATAAAGTACGTGGGAAGGGGCACTCTCTGGGTGTGCCATTCTTCTCTAATCTCCACCTGTCCATCAACCTGGAATCTCTCTGAACCTTGCCCTTCTTTTTGCGGTACGCAGGCCTCTCACTGTTGTGGCCTCTCCCGTTGCGGAGCACAGGCTCCGGACGCGCAGGCTCAGCGGCCATGGCTCACACGCCTAGACGCTCTGCGGCATGTGGGATCTTCCCGGACTGGGGCACGAACCCGTGTCCCCTGCATCGGCAGGCAGGCTCTCAACCACTGCGCCACCAGAGGAGCCCTGAACCTTGCCCTTTTGAGTTTTTTATGGAGGCTTCATTACATAGGCACAGTTGGTTAAATCATTGGTCATCACTGTTGATTCAGCTCTCTCCCAGCTCTCTTATCACATGGTTGGTTCCCCTAGCAGTTAGCTCCCATCCATAGATGCTTTCCAAAAGTCACCTCATTAACATAAACTCTGGTGTGGTTGAAATGGGTTTGATGAAAATCAAGACACCAGTATCACTTCACTTAGGAAATTCTAAGGGTTTTAGGAGTTCTGCCAGAAAAAGGGATGAAGACCAAATATATATTTCTTCCTAAAAGTCACAGCATTACACTGCATTAATTTTAAAAGTTCTTTAAATAATGAATTAGAAAACGGATTTATTGAGATAAATTTAGTTTTGGCATAGAGAGCTTGCTTAATTTAATATAGAAATTTGGTTAAGATATTTGTTACAAACTGGATTTTTTAAACCTTAAAATTTTTATTTCAGGTGGTATGTTTTTAGCCACAGGTAGTACTGATCATGTAATCAGAATGTATTTTTTGGGTTTTGAAGCACCTGAAAAAATCGCAGAACTTGAAAGTCACACTGTAAGTATTCTTTCACGTTTTAAAATTCTGTAGATTGTTAATATTCCTATTGGTACATAGCCTCATATTGCTAAGGGAAATTGTTACTGATTTTAATTTTAACTTAAATTTAGGGGGGATTGGATTTAAAGGTGAAGCATGATATTGACAAACTCAGCACCTTATGGTGCCAAATACTTTGCAGTGGTTATTTCAGCTTTAAGTCCAAACTCTTGATTATGATAATTAATCTGGGTGGTTAGGTTTGAATTGGGTCTGTTTATCTAAACCAAGCTCATGAAATTAGAATGCTGTTTTATCAATGTGTACTAAGATAACTCTCAGTATTCTGGAGTGCTGGTTAGCGGTCAGGTCATCTTTTCTCCTATAGGAAGTTCTGTGAAGTTATTTGATTAAAAAAATCACTTTAAAATAAATTATTATTATTATTTTTCGCACATAATCATCGAAGTGAATTTGCCTTGTTTTCAGCTACTTAAACCTTTTATTTTGATCACTTTCTACACATATCAATTTTTATACAGATGTAATTAATTGCAAATACTGCTTTAATTTTAGAAGTAGGCTTCTTTTTACCGCATGTGTCTATCTTTGAGACAAGAGCTGTATCTTAGTCTTATTAGGTTTGTAGTTAGATTCTTTGCACTTAAACATACAATATATGTTTGAATGTCAGGGTTAAGCAGCATAAGTGCATATCTCTAGCTTTAAACCAAATATGCTTCTGGCTCTAAAACTTAGTGGGTTTTCTTTGTGTACAGACTATGTAGATGATTACTTTTGTGTTTGGTTTTTTCTCCTCTTTAGGATAAAGTTGATAGTATCCAATTTTGTAACAATGGTGATCGGTAAGTAAGTGTGTGTGTGTTTGTTTTTTTGAAAATTTTTTTAATTTAATTTTTTTTAATACAGTAGGTTCTTATTAGCCATCCATTTTATACACATCATTGTATACATGTCAATCCCAATCTCCCAATTCATCCCACCCCACCCCCACCCCCCACCGTGTTTGTATTTGTGAGTATGTTTTTAGGTAAATATACTATGCTTCCTATTAGTATAACTAATATATCACTTTGTAGGTATATATCATATTGCAGGTACTTGTTAGTAAATGTAATAATTGAAGGAAAAGTGTCTGGGGCAGGGAGGAAACAATTAAATGTAAGTTTTTAGAATTGTAGTTTCTGCAGCCTCCTATGACCCAAAGTAGTTTTTCTTTATCTCACTGCTGGCTAAATGTTTGATTTATAGGAAAATTAGGTGTAAGGATAAAGAAATTTGTTATATTTGAGTAGTTAAAAGAAAATCTTTTCTAATCAATCACAGTGATGTAGTGCAACAGAATTACCACTTAAATTATATCCTTTATGGTCCCCAGTGTCTTTTCAGGTACCTTTCCTAAACTGTGATTTTTTTTAAAACTTAACTTTATTAAATGATTGATTTATTTTTACACATGGCTAGCATGAATTAATTTGAGTTTAGAGTTAAAATGCTTATAATGGTGCTTTTGGTCTTACTGTTTCTTCCATACATTTTTTTTTTTTTTTTTGCGGTACGTGGGCCTCTCACTGTTGTGGCCTCTCCTGTTGCGGAGCACAGGCTCCGGACGCGCAGGCTCAGCGTTACGGCTCACAGGCCTATCCGCTCCGCGGCATGTGGGATCTTCCCGGACCGGGGCACGAACCCGTGTCCCCTGCATCGGCAGGCAGACTCTCAACCACTGCGCCACCAGGGAAGCCCATCTTCCATACATCTTTAATTGTCCTTCCCCCCCCCCCCCCCCCCCAAATACTTATTGTACATTGTCTTTTCAAAACTCAGTCTATTCGAGAAGCTAGTGATTGAGTTTGAAATGTGCTTTACTTAATAGGGCTAGGCAAATCATAGCAAACCAGATTTTCTCTGTTTAGATACGCGCTAAATTCCATGTCTTTTGGAAGTAACACCTGTAGATTTACCTGCAGTCAGGATAGCTACAATAAAAATTTTTTCACTTGAAATATTAACTGTAGCCCTTGGTAGCACGTATGTGAGTAGAAGATCTTCTTTTCTTTTAAGGTTTTTAAGTGGTAGCAGAGATGGAACAGCACGGATTTGGAGATTTGAGCAGTTAGAATGGAGAAGCATCTTACTGGATATGGCTACAAGAATCTCAGGGTAAGTTGAGATGGTTTGTTTCTAAGTAGGTGCATCCTAAGTACTTGGTCTCTCTCTCTCTCTCTCTCTCTCTCTCTCTCTCTCTCTCTCTCTCTCTCTCTGGTTGGTTGATTGCTTTGTTCAGGGGACTGGAGCCACCTCCTATTAGAAGAGCTACGATCTAAGTGAATGGCTGCCTCCTGCACATCTGACAGATAAATACTTAAACCTCGTATATTCTTTTTTTTTTTAGAATTAATTAATTAATTTTTAGCCACGTTGGGTCTTCGTTGCTGTGCGCGGGCTTCTCATTGCAGTGGCTTCTCTTGTTGTGGAGCACAGGCTCTAGGCACATGGGCTTCAGTAGTTGTGGCTCGCAGGCTCTAGAGCACAGGCTCAGTAGTTGTGGTGCACGGGCTTAGTTTCTCCGCGGCATGTGGGATCTTCCTGGACCAGGGCTCAAACTCGTGTCCCCTGTGTTGGCAGGCGGATTCTTAACCACTGTGCCACCAGGGATATCCCCACCTACCATTTCAAAAAATATATAAAAATAACTCAGGTATATCAAATGTGAAAATTTTCAGAAAGTTCTACTTTTTGAAGGTAGGATTTTTGGAATTTTTAAGAAGTCACTTACAGCTATGTCTGGCGAAAAAAGCAAACACACTTTATTTAGGTTTAAAAAAATGGGACTCCAGTGGGAATGAAAATTTTTCTTTTTGTATGCTGAAATTTTGGTTTGTAAAATGGCATTGAAGGCAAGTTTGTCTAACTGTCCCCCCACCCTCAACCTCCAAAGTCTCAAAAATGTATCTTGAGCATCTTTGAGATAAGTTTAGTACTTTCCAAGATAAATATTACAAATTTCAAATACATTGCTTTCTTGGTTTGTATATTTTGGGAGGCAGTACAGGTGGTGGAAAGAATATGTGTTTTGGAGTCAGACCTTTGCTCAAATACCATTTACACTGTTATAGCTATATAATTTTGAGAACATCATTTAATTTTTATTAATCTGTTTCATCATCTGGGAAGTGAGACTACCTGCCTTTAAGTATTGTTGGCAATTTTAAATCATATGAAAATTTCTAGCACTGCTTGGTCTAGAGTAGGCATATCAGTGTTCTTAGGAGTTTTTCTGAGAAATGTTACACATTTTAGATCTTCATGTCTGCTTTATTTTTAGTAATAGTAGGAGAAATTAACCCATTCTCTGCTGTGGCTCAAAAAGTTGTATTGGATCTCAAAATAAATTTGATACTAATATTTTTGTGGAATGATCTGTGGTAGAGAATGGAAAGAATACATACTAGAAATCTGATAATCCTTGTTCACAAGCAAATCTTTATAATTATTTAAAAATGTTACATCTGGATATTTAGAAGCATCTTAGTGTGAAAGTGAATAATAATGAAAGAATGGCAGTGAAGAACATTTGAAATGGTATTCGCCCATGAATAATTATTTTATTAGGCAAAATAGGAATACCATTGTAAAAACTTGAATAAAAATTTTTAAATGAGACTGAGAACTATTTATTTTTCTTGTTGTCACCTTCTCTTCATGGAGCGAACTTGTCTTGTATTTTCCCTCATGGTGGAAATACTCTTTTCTCATTTAAAGTTTTACTTATTTCAGATCTTGAAAGGCAGTGTTTTCTGTGTGTAAAAATTTGTTTTTACAAACATATATTTGTTTTAGTGTTCTAATCTTGGCTAATCAACTTGATGAAATGCAACACGTCTGTTAGTAAATTCTAATGAAGCGTGGAGGGTCTTAGCCTGTATTCCATTTTGTCAGTTATTTTATTTATTTGGCTGCGTTGGGTCTTAGTTGTGGCATGTGGGATCTTCGTTGCGGCATGCAGGCTTCTCTGTAGTGGTGGCGTGTGGGCTCCGTAGTTGTGGCACGTGGCCCAGTTGCCCCATGGCATGTGGGATCCTGGTTCTCCAACGAGGGCTCAGACCCGTGTCCCCTGCATTGGAAGGTAGATTCTTAACCATTCTGCCACCAGCGAAGTCCCCTTTTGTGTTTTATGTTACACTTTCTCTGACCAGTCTAGTTAGAGTTATTCTCTCATTTGTGTTCCATGGTGCTTACATAGATAGGTGTTACATAGCACTCATTCCATATTCTTGTAGCCGTTTTCTTTAAAATACATATTTATTATATGCTTAATCATTTCTTAGAATGTGCTGTATGATTTCAGAAGCAGCTAGGTCCCCCCAGTCCCCCCAACCCCGTTCTACTGACTGCTGTATTTTATACAGAAGCTTTGCATATTGTTTTCATAAAGGCAGCAAAACACTGCAGGCGTGTATCCAAGACCGTTCTTGGCAAGGACCTGTAGGAACAGTTTATAGGGAGGTAGAAAGAGATGAATGCAGCTCATTTACAGTTCAGCAGATTGAGAGTCTGTGTCAGGCACTTTACTAGACATTGGAGTCATGAAGATGAATTACCTTCTTTCTGTCTTCCTGAAGTTTTTTGTCATCTATAGAGAGTGAAGCAGTTGAAAGTATTACTTGTAGGGCTTGGGGTCAGGAGAGGGGAATAATTAGAAAAGACGTAGAGAGAAAAAGCTTTGCTTTTATGAGCAGCGGTGGTATTCTGAAATCTGCCTGTATTCAGTCTCCGAACTGTTTGTAAATAATCCCTTACCCCTCGGGATTTTGCCCTTATCTGTTTATAGATAATCTTTTGTGGATCAGATGTGATGAACTCTCTATCGAGTTGGTAAGGTATGGACATGAGCTGGATTACTTCAATTATTTTTGTATCGATGAAGGACTGTGTACATTGTACAGCCTCCTGCACATATAGCATTGCACATTTCATATTTTTTTTCTTAGAGATTTATCTTTAGAAGAGGAAAGGTTTATGAAACCCAAAGTAACAATGATAGCTTGGAATCAGAATGATAGCATTGTTGTCACAGCTGTGAATGATCATGTCCTCAAAGTGTGGAATTCTTATACTGGACAGCTGCTTCATAACTTATTGGTAGGTAGTTTTTATAACATATAACAAATCAAAAATTTTTGAACTATAATTTTATTTTTAATAAACACGTTTCATTTATATTATCAAATGAATAGAAATTTGTATATATACTAATGTATAAATTACTGTCATTAATACATATTTTAAAACTCTTATACACTGTGACAGATATGGGCTTTTAATTTTAGACTTGTAACTTGCAAACCCTCCTTAACTATATGACTTTGTTGAATAAAGGGACATGCTGATGAAGTATTTGTTTTGGAGACACATCCCTTTGATTCCAGAATTATGTTATCTGCAGGACATGATGGCAGCATATTTATATGGGATATTACAAAAGGCACCAAGATGAAACATTATTTTAATATGGTAAGTGGAGTAAGAGGTGTCTTCATGCATGTTTGCATTTGTTTCTAGTATTTGGATAATGAAGTGTAGCCAGAAACCGATCCGCATATTTTGGCAGTTTATATTTCTAGAAATCAGGGTACTACTTAGTCTGATAAATATCTGATAGCCATATATACATACATACATACAAATGTGAAATTAATCTGTATAACATTCACATGAGGGAAAGATTTTCAAAATTTATTTATTTAGCTTTGTGTGTGTGAATTTGTCCCTGTGTTTAAATTGGCAAAATTATGGTAATTCACACAACTTTTTCACTATTTAAATTTATTAAAACATTTGATAATAAGGACTTCCTGGCCATCCAGTGGTTAAGACGCAGCGCTTCCAATGCATGGGAACTAAGATCCCACATGGCACATGGTGCAGCCAAAAAAAAAAATTGGATAATAAAAAATAATACTAAGTAGAGTCATCTAGGGAATCGAACATCATTGTTTGTTTTTCAGCGTTTCTTCTTTTTGCACATGAATATTTGAAAACCAGAGTACGATCTTATTGCGTGTTTTTAGAATTTCTTATACATAACTACAATACAGTTACCAAAATAGGCAAATTTAACATTGATAAAGTAGCGTTATCTAATCCAGGTTTACATTCAAATTTTGTCAGTTGTCCTAATAATGCCTTTATAGTTATATTTTACCCCTTGGACCAGGATCTAATTCAGGATCATGCATTGTATTAAGTAGTTATGTATCTCTAGTTTTGTAAGATCAATAATTCTGCCTTTTTTTCCCCCCCTATATCTTGCCCTTTTACAGGCAAATAATGTTACAGGATATCTCTGTTTTGTCTGATATTTATTCATGATTCAACACTGTTTCACATTTTTTTGATGTAATAAAACATAAATGATAGTGTGCCGTCCGTGCATTATATTAGAAGGCACATGATATTTATATGTTCCACTGTTATATGGTGATAATTATTAATATTTGGTTAAGGTGGCATCTGCCAAGTTTCCCCACTGATTTTTAAAATAGTTGTTTTTTTCTTTGTAAATTTTAAACTGATTTTTCCAGAGACTATGTAAATATCTGGTTCCTCATGAAACTTTCACAAATATCAGTATCCATCGAAGGCTTTCTAATGGCGTCGTTCTTTACATACTTATTAGTTGGCATTGTTGCACATAGTTTTGTAATCCTTTCTCATTTTATGTAAAGAATGTTTTTCAAACCCTTAAATATTTTTTAAGAATTTGCAAATATATTTTTGACGGTAAATTCAGCCTATCTTAGAAGTATGTTACCTATATGTTTAATTTACTGTTGTTGAGTATTTAAGTGGTTTCTAAAATATGCGCAGCAACAATACTTAGAATGTTTTTATACATGGCTGTTTAGGTAGATCCCTGATTATTTCCTTGGGATAAATTCTGAGGGAAATCTGTAAAAGGGCTTGTACATTGTTAAGACTTGATTTATATATATATATATATTATATATATATATATATATCTCATATGTATATGATAGGTTTTATAAAATTACTCTTGTTTATATTGAGATCTAATTCAAACTATAATTAATTTTTGAGGCAATAGAGTAGCATCCTATAGGTGAATGATTCTTAGATATTTGATTGAAGACCATCTTAGTTTATGTGTTCCATGTTTTTGTTGGTTTTTTTTGACCTTAAAATTTTAATTTCAAGGTGCTTACACTGGATATTTTCTTCAACAAACAGTTTAAAATACAGTTTTTTATTTATTAACATTAAGTGCACTAAAACAACTCAAATAGCCTGACCCAAGTACATCATTGGGCATCTCTGAAACTTGCATCTCTGTTCAAATTACTGGAAAAAGAACCAAGCCTTCTTCAGTTTTTCTATGGCCTTAAAATTCATAGGTACATCCATCTTTTAATTAGCCTTTAAAACTCAATAGGAACATTACATACTAAATTTAATCTATTAAAACAGAAAACTACATTAATTCAGGCTTTAAACAGAATATAAGCTAAAATAACCTCTAAGCCAAAGAGTAATCTGAAAAAAGTCTCAAATGGGCAACGGTGATCTTATTTCCAGTCAGACACCAAAAGTTGGCCTTGTATACTGAATTCTTGTTACCTTTACTGCTCAGCTGGGAGTCTCCTAATTCTTTAATGCTAGACAAATTACATAGGGTTGTAAACTACTAACAAAAACAGTATTTCATTAAGTAAATAGTTAACATAATGTGACACCGAAGTGTTCTCCAGGCACAGTGGCAGGTCGGATCTTGTCAGGAATCATTGTGTAGGACTCTTCAGACTGCAGGTAAAAACTGGAGTCTGTCTTGCTCTGCCTAGGTGGGTTTGCCCACTTGGGAAAACTTCCTTCTCAGTGGGTACCCTGAGCAAAGCTTTTGGTGCAGTAAGTTCCACATGTATGATAGGAGAGTAGCTGCCACCATCTTTGCTTTACCAGCCAAGGGCTCTCCCCTCCCCACCCTCCTCTGCTTTACTTGGACTGAAGGTCTCAGGCCAGAGGTGTAAAGTGGTGCCAGGGTGCAGGTTGGGCTGTGGTGGAGGTGGCTCTTCAAAGGACCCTGGGGGTGAATCTGTGTAATAGGAGGGAAAATATTTACACATTTTTTTCCTTTTTATGTTATGAGAGAATGCAAATTTGTATACATGGATTATCTTATTCAGCAAGTCCCTAAATATCCCAATACCTTAATTCCCCCCCCCCCCCCCCCCCCCCCCCACTAGCCTATAAAGGACTCTGAGAAAAGGAATCCTGTTTCCCCCCCACTCCATTTTGTTAATTGGCACTCAGTCATGTGTGGTATAGCAGTAGTGAATTATTGCTTTTCTAGCGGGTATTTAGGTATGTATGTGAGTTTGTTTTGGCAGTTAGTTGGGTGGATGAATCCTTTTTCCAACGCTGATTTAACTTGTCCTAAAGTTTAATTATTGGAAAGTTATAGGCTGAGACAACAGATACGCATAGCTCTACACTATTGAGTTAATGAAACAACTCATTTAACTATAAATTGATAATACTAAACTATAATTTACAGTTAAAAAAACAAGAATAAAACAAAACAGTTTAAAAGCTATCTATTTAAGGCAACATTCATGATGCACTTAGAGTATCCTTTCTGAAATTTGTGGCAGTTTGAAATAAGGTAGTTGCAGGTGCAGACATCTACATATGCACCCTTGAGACTTTGCAACATTACAAATTTTGCATTTCCACTTAGTCATCTAAGTGGAAAGCTTAAACTCCATGAAAGTATTGACTTTACTTCATGAATTCCAAACTTTATTAATCTTTAATCATTTCCCTTGTAGGTTTTTTTTTTTTTTTTTTAGCGGTGTGCGGGCCTCTCACTGTTGTGGCCTGTCCCGTTGTGGAGCACAGGCTCAGCGGTCATGGCTCACGGGCCCAGCCGCTCTGCGGCATGTGGGATCTTCCCGGACCGGGGCATGAACCCGTGTTCCCTGCATAGGCAGGCGGATTCTCAACCACTGCACCACCAGGGAAGCCCCTCCCTTGTAGGTTATTAATCAAAAGATTTTTGTTATATATTGAAAGAAAAGTTTGTGAAATTGTCATTCACATGTAAGAAGTAAAGCCTTCATTTTGGATTGGTTTATGATCCTTCATTTGATCAATCTGAGAACTAATTCTTAGAAGATCTTTTGAGATTTTTTTCTAGGCTAGTGGTATCTAAAATGAATTTTATTTTCTGAAAATACTAACATGTGCTTAACGAAAACTTTGTTTAAAAATTTGGTTTTTCAGAAGTTGATAGAGCAAAAGCTCTTACACAGAAATGGTCATACATTTTTCCCTCTGTGTTTCCTAGATTGAAGGACAAGGACATGGAGCTGTATTTGACTGTAAGTTTTCCCAGGATGGACAGCATTTTGCCTGTACAGATTCTCACGGTCACCTTCTGATATTTGGTTTCGGATGCAGCAAGCCATATGAAAAGGTCATTTCATATACTTTCTTACAGCATGTAAAATAGTTATAAAGGATGTTTTGAAAATAGGTTAGATTTAACTTTTTTGTCTTTTCAAATAAAGTTAACTGGTTAATAATTTATTTTCTTTAACACGTGTAAACCTCAAAATATCAATTTGTAAACTTCCCTTTTCTAGATTCCCGATCAGATGTTCTTCCATACTGACTATCGGCCACTGATTAGGGATTCTAATAATTATGTCTTAGATGAGCAAACTCAGCAGGCTCCTCATCTTATGCCTCCACCATTCTTGGTAGATGTAGATGGAAATCCTCATCCAACTAAGTATCAGAGATTAGTACCAGGCCGAGAAAATTCTGCAGATGAACATTTGGTTCCACAGCTAGGTTATGTGGCAACAAGTAAGTTCTAAGTCTTTTTTTTTGTTTTGTTTAATTTTTAATTTGAAAAATGTAAGTAATAATACAAAGAACTCCTGTACTTTCAGATTCACCAGTCCTTAATATTTTGTTTTATTATTGTATCGCTAGATACATATTATTGTTTTGAACCATTTGACACTTAAGTTCTGGCCCTCGTGTCCATTTACCCCTAAATACTTCAGTATGTATTTTCTAAGAACAAAGATGTTTTCTTATGTAATCATAAACTGTTATCAAAATTAGACATTTGACAATTATATAATACTGTTATCAAATCTATAGTCTGTAATCAAATATTATTGTTCTAATAATGCCTGTTATAGCTTTTTTTTTCTCCCTTGATGTAGATTTTAATTTGGGACTGCACATTAAATTCAGTTGTCGTTGATTAAGTTCAGGTTATGCATTTTGGAAAGAAGACAACATAAATGGTGTCGTAGCCTTCCTGGAGTATCATGTCAGGATGCTTATGATTGTGTTTTGTGCACTTATTGGTGACGCTGACTTTGAACGCTTGGTATCCACCAAGGTTTTCCACTATGAATTTTTGTTTTCTCTTTGTAATTATTAAGTAGCTTGTGGTTTAAATAACCTGTTTTATTTCAAACTTTTAGGATCCATTGATAATTTTTGCCTGAATCAGTTGTTACTCTGAACGTTGCAAAACGTTTTTCTAACTCTGTTATCATTGCATCTGCATTTTACCATTAGCTGGCCATCTACTACTCTACCATTTATTTATTTATTTCGTCTATTAAGTTTTAGTATGGACTTCCGGGTTGTTATGTAGTGGGTTGCAATCCAGTACTATCATTGTTTAGTTGCTCATATTATCCTTGTATTTGGCTGGGAGAGTCCATTCAAGCTGAGTTTTGTGTATTTTCCCAAGTCCCTGTCATTCCTTGAGCACTTCATTACTTTCTGGCAAAAGATGTTCCAGTCCCGTCTTGTACTTTGCCTGTCCTAGCCAGGTACAGAGTTTTTTGTTTTGTTTGTTTTTGTATTTGTTCATGGCAGTGTAACGTTTTTCCCTAATATTATTAAATGCAATTAATTTTTTTTTTATTTTTATTTTTTAAAATTTTTTGCGGTACACGGGCCTCTCACTGTTGTGGCCTCTCCCGTTGCAGAGCACAGGCTCCAGACACGCAGGCTCAGCAACCACTGTGCCCCCAGGGAAGCCCTGAATTAATTCTTTCATCATTATGAAATGTGCCTTTTTATCCTCAGGAGTATTTCTTGTTTTGAAGACTATTAACTTTGTTTCGTATTCAAGTAAATAATCCAACTTTTTAAAATTAGTGTTATCATGTTGTATCTTTTCAGTTCTTCTAACCAATATGTCTTTATATTAAAACAGATTTCTTGCAGGCAGCAATCTAGTCTGACAACCTGTCCTTTAATTGGACTATGTAGACCATTTACATTTAATATAGTTATTAGTGTAGTCAGGCTTAAAGCTCTGCATAATGCTACTTGTTTTGTCTTTATCCTTTCTGTTCTTTGTGCTGTTTCTCCTTTTTTTCCAGACTTTTTTGAAGTTGCTTATTTTTTAGTGTTTTATCATTATTGCCACTAATTAGCAATACCTGTTAGTCTTACTTATTTTTAATGGTTGTTCTAGGGCCTAAATTGTCAGTGTGTAGTTTGCAGACCCATGGTTTTATCCATGACCTTTTATGGGGTCTTCGAGGTTATGACTTATCTTCATAATAATATGGAACTATTATTTACCTTTGACATTTGCACTGATGAAACAGAAGCAGTGGTGGGTGAAACATTTGGTACCTGAGCACAAATCAAGGCCGTGGCACCAAACTACTGGCGGTCATTGTATTCTCCACTGCTTTGAACACACATTTTTAAATATTCTGAGTGTTAAAATTGGAAATATGCTTAAAACAGTTCTTGTTTGTGTCTGAAGTCTCTGTTCTGGCTAGTGGGAACACGTGAGAGTTCTGGCAATTTTTTGGCATTAAAAAATGGCTTGGCTTTTTCATGTTTTATTTCCCAGCATGGTGGAGTTTTAACCAATGTGTGCACATATTATTAAGCCAAAGAATCGATTCCTCATTGTGTACCTCTGAGCTTTCTGTGCAGTCCAGTCCTCTCTGATATTCAGCCCTGCGTATTTTAGTCTTTCCCCTGCTCTCAAACTCTGACCTCTGTCTCTCAACTCATTGTGACCTCTGGATGGTACTTGGGTTCCCTCTCCTTGTTCTGTAGTCTGGAGATTGCCTCCAGGCTGTTACCTGGAGCAATCAAAAGATTGGGCTCCATTGTCTTCTCTCAGGGATCACAGTCCTGTGCTGTTATCCAATATCTGAAAGCCCTTCTTTCATATATATTTTTTCCAGTGTTGTAGTAGTTTATAGTGGAAGGGCACTGTAGTACTTAAGCCTTTATGTGTAGAACCCTTCTTTAGTATTTGAATGGTGACTGCATTATGCCAAGTAGAAACAAGTATCATTCTTGATATTTCCCAAGTTACATTTAAATTCAGTGCTGTGAAAGAAAAGTTACATAGGGTTTTTTGGGGAGGGGAGAGGATTAGAAGTCTCCTTTTCTGCTGTTTTCCCTTTGGTTCCATGTTGTGATCTTAGGGATGTTATGTTATTCCTAGTTCTAATTAAAGTCTTTTTATCCTTTTACGAAATTTTTTTAATATACATTGATTTATTTTATTTATTTATGTTTGGCTGTGTTGGGTCTTCGCTGCTGCGTGCGGGCTTTCTCTAGTTGTAGCAAGCGGGGGCTACTCTTTGTTGTGGTGCGAGGGCTTCTCATTGCGATGGCTTCTCTTGTTGCAGAGCATGGGCTCTAGGTGCACGGGCTTCAGTAGTTCTGGCATGTGGGCTCAGGAGTTGTGGCTCGTGGGCTGTAGAGCGCAGGCTCAGTAGTTGTGGTGCACGGGCTTAGTTGCTCCATGGCATGTGGGATCTTCCTGGACCAGGGCTTGACCCCGTGTCCCCTGCATTGGCAGGCGGATTCTAAACCACTGTGCCACCAGGGAAGTCCCTTGTTATCCTTTTAGATTAGGGCTCCACTTCTTGCTGTCTTAGTTCATTTTTTGACAGTGGTCAGAAAATTTCCATGGTTTTTGTTTAGCTCTTCTAAATTCTTCATTGATTTCCACAGTAAAATGGAGATGTTATCAATAAGATTTAAGGGATCTAAAAGTAGATTAGTAGGATAGAAGGATAGAAGTATTTTTCCCCCTGAAACAGTATATGGCATTTTTCGGTTTCTGACGTGTTACTATGGATGGAAGTATATCTTTGCATTCTTTTTGCCTAATACCCTATTAATTTCAATTTGTTAAGTTTCTGCTTATAAGCTGGTGTGGGGGGCGTCCATGTTATATATTGTGTTCAAAGAAGATGCGTTTTATGGTGGGAGGATATGTAACGAGTTGTTTGCATGAAAATGTCAACGTTTAGGTAAATTTCAAGACCCCACAACTGTCTAACACTTTTTATCCATTAACACTAACTGAACCTATTAAATATCTCTGAAAATGTATTATTTGAAAAATAAAGAAGCAAAGACACTTAAAAATATCTGATTTTGTACGTGAAGGATCATGGCTATGCTTAAAGCCTATTTGAAAGAGTGACTTAAGCTTGGTGGGAGAGGCATGTGGAAGCTGCCTCCCTCAACTGTGCGTACTTGGGGTGGGAGAGAGCTGGAGTTGGGAGTGGTCATTTGTTAAAGGCCTAAAAGGTGTTACTTTTTTTAATTTCATAAGGCAGAGAAATGCCACTGCTTTTCTCTACATCAGAAATCGCACATTATTGGTTGTTATAGTCAGAGAGACCTTGGGAAATAAGATTTTAATGAAATACTTGTATAAATGAGGGGCGTTAATGTGAAACAGAAAAACAAGACTTTCACTTTCACTCAGGTGTGTTTCCAGGTGCTCACTTCTAGGGATTTCAGAACCTCTTTTGAGGTTTTTGTGGTACTTAGTACCCTAAAGTTTGTTTTGAATTTTTTCTATGATTTAATTAGTTATGAATATAAAGGATATCTTTAACTGATTATTTTTGAAAAACAAGAATTGACAATTGATAATGTAATTTTAATTGTAGCCTATTGAAAGTTTTTTCCTCTCCATATGTATTATGATTTCATATTCATTCATTGAATTTGCAGGTGATGGAGAGGTAATTGAACAAATTATAAGCCTACAAACCAATGACAATGGTGAACGAAGCCCAGAGTCCAGTGTTCTTGATGGAATGATAAGACAGTTGCAGCAGCAGCAAGATCAGAGAATGGGAGCAGGTCAAGATGCTGTTCCAAGTGGACTTTCAAATGGGGAAGAAACACCCCGAAGAGGTAATAAATATATGAGAGGTATTTTGCCTTGATATGGCTGGATTGAAATTGAAGAATAAATGAAGTCATTGTCCCCTACATGTAGTGTAAAAAGCCTTAAGCAGTGTACGCTTACAACTTGAGTAGTAGTCTGGAGGTAGCTTTATTAGGTGTAAGGTTGATGGACTAACAAATGGACATTTGAATTTCAAGTACTGTGAAAGGCTATTGAAATCTTTTTACTTTAAAATAAGAGTATTTACAAAATTACATTAAATAAATAAGAGTAAAGAACAAAGTGTTTTCTAAGGGAAACACTAGATTTCCTTTCCTTTATAATCCTTAAAAAACTGAATTGAGTAGAGCCCTAATGTTTCTTAACTGAATCAGAAAGCTTGAAGTGAGTTTTTAGGGCAAAGTACTTGATATTGGAATGTAGTAATAATTATATGAGTGGAAATAATCTAGAAGAGATGGGCGATTGTTATGCAACTGAAAACTCAATCTGGAAACGCTAAATCCTTGTGGAAGGTAAGATTTGAGAGGCTGTAAAATGCTATAAAATTTCCTGTCTCTTTATCGCTCACTGCTGTGTTCTGAACAGTTTCTTCAGCTCTTTCTGCCCTTTCACTCTTTTTTTTTTTTTTTTTTGGCGGTACGTGGGCCTCTCACTGTTGTGGCCTCTCCCGTTGCGGAGCACAGGCTCCGGACGCGCAGGCTCAGCGGCCATGGCTCACGGGCCTAGCCGCTCCGTGGCATGTGGGATCTTCCCGGACCTGGGCACGAACTCGCGTCCCCTGCATCGGCAGGTGGGCTCTCAACCACTGCGCCACCAGGGAAGCCCTGCCCTTTCACTCTTGATCTTCCTTTCATCTAATCTGCCTCGAAACTGGCTTTAGATTTTTTTTTATTATTACTTGTTTTTTATTTTGGCTGTATGGCTTGTGGGATCTTTTTTGTTTGTTTTTAATTTCTTTTTGGCTGCATTGGGTATTCATTGCTGTGCGCAGGCTTTCTCTAGTTGCGGTGAGTGGGGGCTACTCTTTGTTGTGGTGCGTGGGCCTCTCATTGTGGTGACTTCTCTTGTGGAGCCCGGGCTCTAGGCGCGTGGGCTTCAGTAGTTGTGGCACGTGGGCTCAGTAGTTGTGGCTCATGGGCTCGAGAGCGCAGGCTCAGTAGTTGTGGCACACGGGCTTAGTTGCTCTGTGGCATGTGGGATCTTCCCAGACCAGGCATTGAACCCATGTCCCCTGCATTAGCAGGTGGATTCTTAACCACTGTGCCACCAGGAAATCCCGGTTTGTGTAGTTCCCCAACCAGGGATCGAACCCAGGCCCTTGGCAATGAAAGTAGGGAGTCGTAATCACTGGTCTGCCAGGGAACTCACAGTGCTTTAGATTTTTATTTGCAGCGACTGTTAGGTCTACAAGTTTCATTTTTTTCTCTTTAAAATATGACTTTAAAATTAGTGCCTTGTACTTTAAGTTTTACTTCTTTTATATATTTAACTGTTTTGGATTCTAGCAGCACAGAATTGGGTCTATCAAAACTTTTTTCTTGACATACTCTTTTTTTTTTTTTTTTTTTTTTTTTTTTTGCGGTACGCGGGCCTCTCACTGTTGTGGCCTCTCCCGTTGCGGAGCACAGGCTCCGGATGTGCAGGCTCAGCGGCCATGGCTTACCGGCCCAGCCGCTCCGTGGCATGTGGGATTTTCCTGGACTGGGGCACGAACCCGCGTCCCCTGCATCGGCAGGCGGATTCTCAACCACTGCGCCACCAGGGAAGCCCATTGACATACTCTTATTGTTCATTTACACATGCTCCTCTTTTATTTGTTTTAAATCATGATAATAATCTACATCTTTTTATGTGGTCCTGTCCTGTTTCCCTGTCCCAAGATAACAACTATTCTGAATCTCATGTTGATTCTTTGCCTTTTAAAAAATAGATTTGACACTCTTAAATGTATGAATAGAAAGCATTTGTTTTTAAACTTTATCCAAAGGTTTATAAAGGTTAACTTTATCAAAAGGTTTATAAAGGGACTTAATTTTTTTTCACATAGTGCTGTATTTTTAAGATTGCTCAGTTGTCGCGTTGGATTAATTTTGACTATTGTGTACTCTGTTGTATATCTGATTTTATTAATTCATTCTCTTGATGGGCTTTTGGGTAGTTTTGAGATTTTGCTAATCTCAAACAGAAATGCTATTAACAGTCATGTATGGGTCTCGTATACACTTGAAAGAATTTCTCTCTCTCTCGTATGTTTTTTTCCTAAATTTTAGAGTAAGATGTGAACTTTATCCCTTAGGCTTCATTCTGTATCTTCCAAGAACCGGAACATTCTTTTATATGATCATAATACAATGATCACAGTCAACAGACCTTACAGTACTACACAATGTACAGACTGTACAGTACTGCTGTCTGATGTACAATCTTTACATTTCCCCACTTGTCCCAAAATTGTCCTTCATGACTTTTTAAAATTTTAGGGTTTAATCAAGGCTTTGTCCATGTGCTTAATTATTTGAGTCTCTTTTAATTTAGAACAGTTCCCTCATGGCACTGGTACCTTTGAAGAGTTCAGGCCTGTTGTTTCACAGAATTTCCCTCAATTTGAATTTGTCTGATTATCTCATAATTGGATTCAGGTTAAACATTTTAGGTAAGAATACTGCATAGTTGCTGTGTTCTTCTCAGCACATCAGAGCAAGAGGCACAAGATATGTATGCATTTTTCTGCACCTTGCTTTTTCCCCTTAGCAGCATATTCTAGAAATCACCCTCTTTTCATTCACAGAGCTCGTCTTCATTCCTTTTTATAGCTTCATACTACTCCACTGTGTGGAATAACCAGTCTTTGTAATTAATCTGTTTACGGCCACTTAAGTTATTTTTCATGCTTGCTATTACAAGTAATGTTGTGATACATAACATATATTTTCTTCAGACTGTTGGAGAATAATACTATGACTTGGGCAGTCAAATTTAGAATTTAGGGCTTCCCTGGTGGCGCAGTGGTTAAGACTCTGCCTGCCAACATAGGGGACATGAGTTTGAGCCCTGGTCCGGGAAGATCACACATGCCGCAAAGCAACTAAGCCCGTGCGCCACAACTACTGAGCCTGTGCTCTATAGCCCACCAGCCACAACTACGGTTCCCACGTGCCACAACTACTGAAGCCCACGTGCCTAGAGCCCGAGCTCCACAACAAGAGAAGCCACGGCAGTGAGAAGTCTGCCCACCGCAATGAAGAGTAGCCCCCACTTGCTGCAACTACAGAAAGCCCATGCACAGCAACGAAAACCCAGTGCAGCAAAAAAAAAAAAAAAAAAAAATTTAGAATTTATTTTTAGTTCTCAATTCAAAAAGTGTTTCTTAAACATCAGTATATTTTAATATAAATTTTGGATTAATAGCAGGGGCATTTAATATCATTTTTAATAGATGGAGTATACTATGTTGTGCAGGGCAAATTGGTTCACATTTGATTGGTGAACAGAATGTTGTACATAGAAGAATGCAGAGGTTTGTTCACTCATATTTGAGTTTTACCCTAAGCAAGGAGAGCTGGTGCATTTGGAGTAAAATTTAATAGCCTCCCATAGGAAAGGATATAGCCCCCAGTTTTTTTTGTTGCATTAGTAGCAGGATCCCCTTCACCCTGTGGTTCAAGAAAACAGGCATTTTGCCTGGGATTCCCTCCACATCCCTGCGGGGTTGTCTCCATCCTTTGTGACTTCCAGCTCTTGGGAGGTTGCCCTGCCTCCTGTGTCTACCTGATCAGCTCTGCATAGGCTCAGGGCTTGATGTGGTCTGCATTGCCCTGTTACCCACTCTTCTAGCTCCAATTCAGGTGCTGCCAGCATTTCCCCACTTTGCATTTTTGTGAATTTTTAATAATGGGCTCTGGCAGCTTGCCTGCTTGAGTGGCTTAGATTCTCTCTTTAGGTCACAAATAATGTTTGTTGTTAGAGCTCTTATTATAAAGCCACCACAGTTTGAGGCATCTATTTGCAGTGCTAATTTTTCCAGAAAGATGTGTTTTTAGTTTGCAGTTTTGAGGAAGGCGAGGTTTTTAGGACTGCAAATATAACATTATTATAGAAAATGCTTGTACATTTAATTTCAGAAAGTCTAATCAAAATGGAAGTTGAGCTTAATAGTTATGTTAATGTTTGTTCTGTAGTCTACATTTTTAAGAGAGATCTTTATTTATTTTGGCTGCGGCGGGTCTTCGTTGCTGTGCACGGGCTTTTTCTAGTTGCGGTGAGCAGGGGCTACTCTTCATTGTGGTGCACGGGCTTCTCATTGCGATGACTTCTCTTGTTGCGGAGCACGGGCTCTAGGTGTGCGGGCTTCAGTAGTTGTGGCTCACGGGCTCTAGAGCACAGGCTCAGTCGTTGTGGCGCACGGGCTCAGTTGCTCCGCGGCATGTGGGATCTTTCCGCACCAGGGCTTGAACCTGTGTCCCCTGCACTGGCAGGCGGATTCTTAACCACTGCGTTACCAGGGAAGTCCTCATGTAGCCTACATTTTGATCTCAGTCACATTAAGATTCTTTTTTCCAAAGTTTTTTCAGTAGATCTTTTTTTTTTTTTGGTTTGTGTCTTAGTAGGAGGAATGTATATGCATATTAGATTGAAGTTTGTTTTGTAATCATTCTTGACAATTTTTCCCTAGGTTTTAGAAGACTAAGCTTAGACATCCAGTCCCCTCCAAATATTGGTCTGCGTCGTAGTGGACAAGTGGAAGGTGTTCGTCAGATGCACCAGAATGCTCCACGTAGTCAGATAGCTACAGAGCGTGACCTGCAGGCCTGGAAACGAAGAGTGGTTGTACCAGAGGTACCACTAGGCATATTTAGGTTTGTTTTAGGATATCTATTAATATTGTTTATATCTGTGAAAATATATCTGTATGGTTATTTACACATATTTTAATCATTAGTGGTATAAATAATCATATACTTATATTTTAGTAATGGGTTGGGATGTATTTTAACTGCGGGAGGAAAATGTCAAAATTGTTGTCTAACTCCATAACCAGTCTTGTTTCATCTATACAAACACCCCCTGTTCTCCCTTCAGTATTATTTTGAAAGATATTCCAGACATAATATCATTTTGTCTAAAAGTATGTCAGTATGTAATTTCTAAGGATAAGGAATTGTCTTAAAATATAACTATAATGCCATTGTCATATCTTAAAAAACAAACAATTCCTCAGTAGAACCAAATAGCCAGTGTTTAAATTTCCAGTTGTTCCACATGTCATATTTTTAGTTTTTTGCAAGAGTATTTCGTAAGTGGTAAAATTCCATCAGAAGGCACATAATGTCTTTTTCTTTATTTCTTTTCTTTTTTCTTTTTTCTTGTGATGCTAGCAGGAACTGATACTCACTGCCCAGGTTCATTAATTCATCAGGGATTATAAAATAGTGATATTTCAGCTCTGAAGTCTTTATTATCTTGGATACTTCCAAATAAAAATTTACCCACATCTACTATTTGATTATCCAGTAGTAAAGTTTGTATATAAAAAACAAGTTTGTGTATAAAAAACAGGATAGCTGCCTGCTCATTTTGCTTTATTTACCTTCAAAATAAAGATTTATTCCTTTATATTCTCCCGCAGTGGCCAATTTGTGTGTTTGTGTTGTTCACTGTATTAATTACACTGCTGTGATTTAGCTTATTTCTAAGGTCCTTGTTAATGTTTAAATTTTTTTATCTCTGGCCAGGAGGAGCTTCTTCAAGTTGGCCCCTGAGTCCTTTTGAAATGATGTAGTAGCCTTGCATAGCATCTTTGCTGTCAGGCATGGCAGGGTGTTACAGGTTCTTCTTTTAAATTTCTTGACCTAGACTTAGGATTAGTCTTTTCTCTTAAGCAGCCCTATTTTCTTTTAGTGAGAAATGATATTTCATAAGTATAGTGTGGGTCGTAGGGTTTTCCTTGTACTGAATTGTGATGTACTGATTTTCAAGTTATCAGAATGGAGGCAGCAAATACTGTTTTTCATTGATATCTAAAATGTTTCAGTATTCTGTCACGTTTGTGTCTCATAATAACTAATACCTTGAAGATAATTTTGTAAACGTTTTCATGTGTTTAGCCAGAAGTGTCAGTTGATTGGTGGAGTAATATTGGATAATACTTATATTTCTTACAGTGAATTTAAGGATGTTTATAAGTATACGATAGACTAATGAAAAGCAAAATCTGGAACTGGGATGAGAAATACAGAAAATCACTGTCGTGTATGCAGCATTCTATAATTAAGCCTTAAAATTGTGTCTGAGTTGCATGGTCATCGGAACTGAAAGTGTCATTTTAGGATACTTTTTGTTGTCAAAATCAAGGGAAGCAAATAGGTATCAGGAGTGAAAGTCCTGAAGAATAGTACTTTAAACGAGCATTTATTTTCTTAACATAAAGGAAGACTGGAAGTAGTTTAAGGCTAGAATCATGGTTCCCCGGCATTTTCCCTGGCGGCAAAAAGGACATTTCTAGTTGAAGGAATTTCATTTAAGCAGACTTAATGGTCCCACATGACATGTCTCCTCATAACTCATTGACCAGAATGTCCTCATATGGCCACACTTAGCTACAGAGGAGGCAAGGTAATACAGTCTCTATTTAGAGCAGCAAAGAGCCTAGATGAAAATTGAGATTTTGCTTCTAAGGAAGAAAGAAGAATGGATTTTGTGAGTCAGCTAGCTGCTGCAGTATAATTTTCCCAAAGAAGAGCATAGCTCTTTCTGGAACTCTATTCTAAAATACACTTGAGTTTTTATGAAGGAGATGCTGAATGATACAGTAGAATCCTTTAGAGAATGGATTTGCAGTCTTGGAAAATCATAGGTACATTCTGAGTAGCTAACACGAAGAGATTCTGTTTGAGTTGGTCCTCATAGGGCCAATCAAAATACAAATGAATGAATATTTCTGTGTTAAATATGAAAAATAGGACCTAGCTGCCTCTGAGATTTTGGTTAATTAAATTTCTAGAAAAGTGTAGTTTGCCTTAAGTTTTGTTATAACTTTAGGAATTTTCTGTATTAATTAAAAAAATACTTAAGTTATGATTCCCAGAATCATAATGATTAGTTTTTTTCTCTATATATCCTTTATTTATCAGCAACTAATATAACTGGGTACTTGAATTTGTAGGAAGTTGGAAGACTTCAGAATAGAGAAAGGTGAAGAAGAAAGAAACCTTTATGTAATTGGAAGAAAGAGGAAGACTCTCCATCTTTCACAAAAGGTAACCTAAATTCCATTTCCTTAGGAATAAACAAATTATAAATTAAACTGAAATTTATAGTTTTCTTTTTGATCAGTGAGAATATTAGTAATATATTAGTCTTCTGTTTGGGATTTAAAATAGTAGACATAAAGTTGTACAGGTGTGAGGAAAAGTGGCTTGAAACTTGCGGGAAGTAGCCTAATGCCTAACAGTGATGAAGGATTCTAGAATAAATTATTGTTGGGATTTCCCTGGCGGCCCAGTGGTTAAGACCTTGAGCTCCCAATGCAGGTGGCATGGGTTTGATCCCTGGCCAGGGAACTAAGATCCCACATGCCTCACGGCTCGGCCTAAAAACAAAATGTTATTGTCTAATAACCACTAGAACATTGCCAGCCCATCAAAAGCATTTTGTATCCATTCCCAATCACTGCTCTCTCCTTTCTCCTGCAGGTAACCAACTGTTTGACTTCTAAAGATGCTGGTTAGCTTTGTCTGTTTCTGATGTTTTCCAGATCATGCATTTATAAAAAATCTTAGATGTCACAATGGTTTGCGACAGAGCCCAACCCTACCTGAGAAAATCTTATTCCTTAGTGTTTAATTTCTTGACCATCATATGTGAAGCATTAACAAGTTAATGGAATTGACACAAAATGGATGCACGATCAGTGCTACAAAACTATGGTGAAAATGGTTGTGTTTGCAAGATATTCTCTCAATTGATCATTCAATTTTGTAGCCATATTGTGAGAAATGGCCTGTGCATGCCTGTCTGCCACATTAACTGCCTTGATGCATGGTGCTTTTGCTTATGACTTGGGCTTTGAGAATTAAATAAAAATAGTTTCTATCATTTAATTTAAAAATAATTCAAATCTATTACATCAAGTACTGAAAAGAAAAAAATGTTGACCGAGTATCTTCAGCTATAGTTAGAATATTTTCTCATGATAAAAAACCTTCAAAGTTAAATTTACTAAAATTTTTAAGAAATTTTTTCATTTGTCTTATTTTTGCTGGAAAAGTTTTGAAAGATTTTTAAAAATTTGATTACTGGGCTGTTATCTATTCAGAAATTTCTAATTTGGATATGTGATTTGATAAATTACAATCTGTAATTAAATTACATCAAAAGTTATTCAAGAAAGTTATAAGGTTAAATGCAGAGAGCTTTAAAAATTTCAATTTAGCTTTTGTCTTAAAAATATTATCTATTTTAAACCCTGTTTTGGGTAAGAAGGCTAAGCCTTATACTTAATCTGTTGATGTACAAAGTACAGATATACTACGTAAGTGTTTACGTACTGTATGTATGTCTGTGGTATTACAATTCGAGGGAGCAAATTAGGAGAAAGTCAAGTTTCCTATAGGGTAGTGGTAATGTAAAAAAAAGGATAAGAAGGGCTTCCCTGGTGGCACAGTGGTTGGGAGTCCACCTGCCGATGCAGGGGACATGGGTTCGTGCCCCAGTCCGGGAAGATCCCACATGCCGTGGAGCGACTAGGCCCATGAGCCATGGCCGCTGAGCCTGCACGTCCGGAGCCTGTGCTCGGCAATGGGAGAGGCCACAACAGTGAGAGGCCCGCCCGCTGAGCCTGCGCGTCCGGAGCCTGTGCTCGGCGACGGGAGAGGCCGCAGCGGTGAGAGGCCCGCGTACCGCAAAAAAAAAAAAAAAAGAAAAAAAAAAAAAGAAAAAAAGGGTAAGAAACACTGATCTAAATGGAATCATACAGTATGTATATGTAATCTTTTGTATCCGGCTTGCATTTGCCCTTGTGAGATTTATCTTTGTTGTGAGTAGTTGAAGTTCATTTGTTTTCACTGTTGGATAGTATTCCCTTAATGAGAATGTTGCTGTTTAATCTATTCTTAAAGGACGTTTGGGTTGTTTTCATATTAAGAATATGAATTAGGAATAGTATGTTAGGAACAGTATTGCTTTCAACATTTTTTACATATTTCTGGTATCCGTCTGTATTTCTTTTTTTTATTACCTTTTTTTTTTTTTTTTGCGGTACGCGGGCCTCTCACTTTTTGTGGCCTCTCCCATTGCGGAGCACAGGCTCCAGACGCCCAGGCTTAGCAGCCATGGCTCACGGGCTCAGCCGCTACGCGGCATGTGGGATCTTCCCGGACCGGGGCACGAACCCACGTGCCCTGCATCGGCAGTCGGACTCTCAACCACTGCGCCACCAGGGAAGCCCCGTCTGTATTTCTTTTGAGTATATGCACTGGAGTGAAATTATTGGAGCATAGGATATGTGTATATTCAACTTTAGTAGTTAATGCCACATGTGGTTTCAAAACGATTGCACTCTTGCTTATAGTGAGATAAGTATTAAAGTCTCACTATGTTTGTAGATTTCTTTGTTTCTACTTTGCTTTGTGTAGTTCGAAGCTATGTTATTCTGGCTAGCGTTTGCATAGTACATGTTTTTATCCTTTACTTCCTGTCTTTCCCTTTTATTTTGTCTTTTTTTAAAAAATAAATTTATTTTATTTATTTTTGGCTGCTTTGGTTCTTCGTTGTTGTGCGCTGCTTTCTCTAGTTGCGGTGAGCGGGGGCTACTCTTCGTTGCGGTGCACGGGCCTCTCATTGCGATGGCTTCTCTTGCTGCGGAGCACAGGCTCTAGGCGTGCGGGCTTCAGTAGTTGTGGCACACGGGCTCAGTAGTTGTGGCTCGCGAGCTCTAGAGCACAGGCTCAGTACTTTGTGGCGCACGGGCTTAGTTGCTCCGTGGCACGTGGGATCTTCCCGGACCAGGGCTCGAAGCCATGTCCCCAGCATTGGCAGGCGGAGTCTTAACCACGGCGCCACCAGGGAAGCCCTATTTTCTGTCTTTTTTGTTTTTAGGCTGTTTCTTGCTGTTCTGAATTTTTTCTGACCGAATACATTCCATTTAGTTAGTTCTCTTCAGCTGTGTGTATCCTGCTAATAACCTTGTGTTCTTAGTTTTAGTTATTATATTTTTCTGTTCAGAATTTTCCAGAGTTTTCAGTTTTCTCCTGAAGTTCTCATTATTTTAATTCCTTGAAAATCAGCCCTGGTTATTTAAAAAACCCATTTCTGGTAATTTCATTATTTCAGTATCTTGTTCCCCTGTTAATCTGTTTGCATTCTGTGTTGATTTTTTTCTCATTTTATTACAATCAGATTTTCTTTGTTGCCTGTGTTTTTGATTGAATGTTAGATGTTAGAGATGGTTTGAAGCCTAGGATGGCATTTCTTCTCCAGAGAAGGTTTTAATTTGCTTCTGGTAGGCTACTAGGGCCACTCTCAAGCCTGTATCACCTTCACCCAGACAAGGATGGGCTTTTAGTCCCTTTGGATTACTGTTTATCTGTAGTTTACCTATAGGTCTAGCTTATAGCTCTTTGGGCTAACAGCTGAAGCTTGAGGTGTTTGCCTATACATAGGAGACTCCGAATTGTAATTTTTGTTAGCATAACTCAGGAGTTTAGTCTGTCAGTTTTTTGCTTACCTGCTAAACCTTTCAGCTTCCTCTTCCAGAGTGAAATTCTAGGGTTCTTTTTTATTGCTTGTATCCTTTTTCGTGTATTGGTCCTGTAAATCTTCATAGCCTTGTTAGGTATATAGGGCCCTCAAATTGGTTTTTTTTTGTTTGTTTGTTTGTTTTTTTGCGGTACGCGGGCCTCTCACTGCTGTGGCCTCTCCCATTGCGGAGCGCAGGCTCTGCGGCCATGGCTCACGGGCCCAGCCGCTCCGTGGCTTGTGGGATCCTCCCGGACCAGGGCACAAACCCGCGTCCCCTGCATCGGCAGGCGGACCCTCAACCACTGCGCCACCAGGGAAGCCCTCAAACGGTTTTTTTTAAAAAATATATATTTTGACAGATTTTCTTGTTCTTCTTAGTGGTAGTTTTGGTCCATCTGAATTTACATATTATTAGTCATGAAATTCATTAATAGGAGTTTTTGCCTTAACAAAAAAAGTACTGATAAATTAAGGAAAGAAGAGTTGTATTAAAATCAGCCAGGATATATTGTTCAGGATATGTTGAAATGATAAAACATCCCAGTGATTATCAAACAGATGGCACTAACGTGAAAATTGATTTGTATATCAGTTCTGGGAATATGTACTTTCACTGAGTGATCTCGCATACATGACTTTGGTGTTGGAGGAATAGCATGTGCCCTCCCCTGCCGTTTCAATCTAGCTATTTTATTTGGCTGATTTTAAAACATTATTTAATTATTTTGTTTTAATTTTTTAAAAAAAGATATTTAAAAAATTCAAGCACAACTGAAAAGTACTGACAACAAATCATCCAAAAAGTTAAAACCTGTAAATAACTAGGATTGATATTTGAGGATCATTTCAGATATTTCTCTATATCTGTGTATTCACACAGTGATATATTCCTTAAGGTTGGTTACTGAATCATAATATATGAATATATATTTTCACTTCTAAGATATATATTTTAAAGTGATTTCTTTTTTGGATTATAGTTATTATTATCTAATTTATGATAAGCCAATTAACTTATGCTTTAGTTTGGAAAATGATGATCTAATGTGCCTAAATTTAGCCATGGCTTCTAAATACCTTAAAAGTAACAAAAACCAATCTTGGTTAACAGTATGTGGCAAAAATACCCATTCAAGAATATTTTATTTTTTGAACTATTATTATTATTGTTATTTTTGCCTTAAATCCTTTTGGGATTGGATAGAATGCGAAATACTTTATTGAAGATGGTACTTGTTCAAGTGCTGATTTTCATCTGCATGTTTGTGTTTCAGTCTGATTCCGTGGCTTTGATGTCACAGTCTAGGCAGAGGACATGTAGGCGTAAATATCCAAATTATGGTAGAAGAAATCTTGGACGGCTTGAGTTGTCTTCTGGAAATGAATCTTCAAGCTCCGTAAGACATGTGAGTTTCATAACTTTAAAATGTATAAAATAATCTTGAATAATGTGTCTTAATTCTTTACTTTGAATCTACCTTGAAATTTTGTGGAAGTATAGTATTCTCTAGAGATTAAGATGAAATTTCACATTTGAATTTCTCTAAGTGTACAGTCCGGTGGTTTTAGTATATTACCAAAATTGTACCATCACCACCACTATTTAATTTCAAAATATTTTAATCACCTAAAAAGAAACCCTGTACCCATTTGTAAGTACTTCCCATTCCCAGTCCACCCAAGCCCCTGGCAACCACTAATCTTTCTATCCCCGTGGATTTTTGTATTCTGGACATTTCATTTAATGGAAGCATACAGTATGATCTTGTGACTGGCTTTTTTCCACTTACTATGTAATGTTCAAGGCTGATTCCATGTATGGCATGGATGAATACTTCATTCTTTTTCATTGCTCAATATTCCATTATATGAATAGACCACAATTTGTTTACCCACTCATCAGCTGGCGGACATTTGTATTATTTCTACTTTTTGACTGTTACGGATGTTGCTCCTTATCAGCATTAATGTACAGGGTTTTGTTTGGCCATAAGTTTTCAATTCATTTGGGTTTATATCTGTGAGTCAGTTTGCTGGGTCATATGGTAACTCTGTATTTTAACCGTTTGAGGAATTGCCAGACTGTTTTCCAAAGTGGCTGTATTATTTTATGTTCCCAGTCAGTAATGTATGAAGTTTCCAGTTTCTCCACATCCTTGTCCACACTTGTTATGTTCTGTCCTTTTGATTTCAGTTGTCCTGGTGGATGTGAAATGGTATCTTGCTGTGGTTTTGATTACATTCCCCTAATGACTAATGATGTTGAACATGTTTTCGTGTGCTGTTTTCCACTTGTATGTCTTTGGAGAAGTATCTGTGCAAATCTCTGGCCCATTTTTCAATTTGGTTGTCTTTTTTATTGCTATAAGGGTTCTTTATACATTCTGGATAGAAATCCTGTATATTAGATGTATGACTTTGAAATATATTCTCCCATTTATTGGATTGTCTTTTCATTTCTTTGCTTGTTTCCGCTGAAGCACAAAAGTTTTACATTTTGATGAAGTCTAGTTTGTTTTTTCCTTAGTTGCTTGTGCTTTTGCCATCATATCTAAGAAGTCTTTGTCTTAACCCTTTTCTTGACTTAACAGTAATCATATGTAAGTTACTGTTCTTCTTTTTGATTTTTTTGGGGGAAACCAGTATTTCTATAAAGAGTTTTTAAAGGTTAATATTAGAATGTTAGTATTCTCTAATCAGTAATGTTTTGAGGATTGAAATGTTACATAAGGATGAACAATTTATTTGAATTCCTCTATAAAGCATTAGGGTAGTAGTCAAACATAGGGTTTGAATTTAAATCCAAATTCTTCTACTTTGACAAGTTGGTTAAACTTTTGTGCCTCTGCCTATATCTGTAAAAGTAATTTAATAGTATGTCCCTCAGAGGTGTTGTGAGAATTCGTTTAGTTAACCATGTAAAGTGTTTAAAACACTGCCTAATATCCAGTAATGTTAGCTGCTAACCGTTCACTTAAATTATTTTGTGTAAGACCTTTCTTATTTATTTTCTTCTTCTTTATATATATTGAGCATGTTTTAACCTTTAATGATTTAGGATAATTATGATAAATGTTCCCATCCATCCTCACTAGTTTCTGGCATATCTTTCCTGTTTTTTTTTTTTTTTCCCCCTATATACTCAATTAGATACATGTATATTTTGTTATTTCTCATTTTGTACACAAAATGTCACATACCACAGATACTCTTTTGCACTTGGGTTTTTTCACTTAAAATATTCTTAAAATCACTTCATAAATGCCTTCCTTATTTATTTATTTATTTTTAAAGAGTTGCATCATATTTAAGTTATCTGATTGTAACAGTTTATTTAACCACTCTCCTGGTTATGGGCATTTAGGATGTTTACAGCGTTTTCATTTTAAATAATGCTACAGTGAATAATCTTGTAGATGTATGTATTTGTCTAATGATGGAGATGTTATTGGGGGGTGGTACATTCCTTGAAATGGGATTGCTGGGCCCAAAGATAAACATGTTTGCATCTTATGAGATGCTGATAAAAATTCCTCATAAAGGAGAATTCCACCTTGCTTTCCTCCCTGTGGCGTAGGAGGGTGTCTGTTTTCTTATTGTTTACTAACAGTGTGTTACACTTTCTAATTTTTGCCAATTTAATTGGTGAGAGATGGTATCTTAGTTTTATTTTTTATATGTTTTGGTTATTCTTTTATGTGATAGAATATTATATGTAACATGAAATTTACCATTAGCTGTTTTTAAGTATACAGTTCAGTGGCATTAACTGCATTTACAGATGTATGCAACCATCACTACTCTTCATTTCTAGCACTTTTTCATCATCCCAGACAGCAGCTCTGTACTCATTAAACAAGAACTCTCCCCATTTCCTTCTGTTCCTAGCCCCTGGTAACCTCTCTTATACTTTCTGTCTCTATGAATTTGCCTATTTTAGGTACCTCATGTAAGTGGAATCACAATATTTGTCCTTTTGTCTTTGGTTTATTTACAGTGTAGTTTCCATTTCTCTTATGTGTGAAGTTGTACATATTTTTATATATTTAGAGTCTTTTTCATCTTTGTGCATTGTGTGTCATGTCTTGGCCATTTTTCTATCGTGTTTTTGGCCTTTTTCCCCCTTCGCGTTTTAATTTTTTCCACCCTGCTCCGTTACTGTATTTTTGAGCTAATTTTATCATTGGATTCTGTGAAGTTTTCCAGGCACACACTCTCATTTATACAGTATTCAGTTTTACTACTTCTCTTCTAATTTTTGTACTTTTAATTGATTTTTCTTGTCTGATTGCAGTGTTTAATACTTCCAGCACATTGTTGAATACTAGTGGGATAGTGGACCATATTCCTGTTGTCAGTGGAAATGTGTCTGCTATTTTCACAATAAATAAGATGCTTTGTTTTAGGTTTCTACAGTATACATATATATTACACTAGGGAAATAGCAACTAATTCTTATTTTCTTAAGTGTTTCTGAAAAATCAGGAATGATTATAGATTGAGTTTTAATTTTTAGATCAGTAGTATTAATCTTACGATTTTATGTCCTAATTTGGTTTATTTGCAATTAATGGGGAACTTTTAAATTAACACAAGTATAATGTAGAATGTTAAATCCGCTTGACCTTTTAAGATAAGTCATAATTTTGTGTTACGGTAGTTTACCTCCTACAGTGGTATGAATTCATTCTCCTGAGTGTTGCAGATGGGTGCAGATTGTTGTGTATATGTGTATGTTGGTTCCATCACGCTTTGGGTTGCAAAGCACTGATAGTAGAAAAAGTATGGGTTTTAGAGTTGGCCTGGTTTCCGATTCCATTTCTTATACTTATTCTTCTGTGACCCCAGGCGTATTTCTCTACATTTCTTAGCCTTGGGTTTCTCTATATATGAAAAGGTAGTAGTGGGCAGGTAGTGACTTGAGATAATACAAAACTCATTGGCAAGACGGATCCAAGATTTGTGGGGTTTGAATCTTGTATAATTTTAGGGACGTTCTTTAGAAAAAGAATTCAAAGTTAAAAATAGACACAGGGCCTTGGTAGGCAAGTTAAATCGAAAACCTCTGAAACTTAAGTTTCATTAGCTTTTTCTTAACCCTGCCTCTGTTTACAGAAGTATTTTGAGAGTTAATGCAGATAAAACATTTAAAACTTTTTCCCAGAATGCATGGTTTCCAGGTAGGAGATTTTAAGAGTTTATTTTATTACTGTGATTTTTTAGAAGTCTGTTTTGAGCATAAAAAGCAGACTCGTGTTGAGTAGATCTAGTGTGGTTGGCCTAGGAATCTGTACTCCTTGAATAGCATTGGGCTCACATTTTGAGGAAGATTTTTTAAGAATATGTTTACTTTGCATTTTGCCTACTCAAATGAAGTAAACAAAATAGCTATTTCCTTGCAGTTCCATCTTTTTAGTTGTGTTTCTCCATGGCATTTTCATTATCCATTTATGATTCACTTAATGTAAGTAGCTGTTACAGGAAAAGGTTGTATCTCAGTTTAAAAGTACCTGCTCAGTATCCAAGACCAGAATTTAAAGTAGACGGCAGCTATTAGGGTTGTGGGAATTAGCTGCTTGTTCCCCTCTCTTCCTTTAAAGACTTCCGTGTTTCAGGTTTAAAAAAAATTACACAGTAAGTACAGCGAGTTCCCATATACTGTTCCCCTGAGTGTTTCCTATTAATAACATCTTGATTTAGTGTGGTACATTTGCTACAACTGATGAACCAGTTTTATACACTATCATTAACTAAATTCTGTAGTTTACATTAGGGATCACTCTGTGTTGTATGGGTTTAGACAAATGCATAATGTTTTGTATCTACCATAATAGTATCATACAGAATAGTTCCACTGTCCTAAACCCCCCCTCTGCTGTACTTAATCATCACTCTCTCCCTCTTCCTGAGCTACGGGCAACCACTGGTCTTTTTACTGTTTCCATAGTTTTGACTTTTCTAGAATGTCATATAGTTGGATCAAACAGTAGGTGGCCTTTTCACATTGACTACTTTCTAGTAATAGGAGTTTAATTTTCCTCTGTGATAAGTCTATATTTAGCTCTGTAAGAAACTGCCCAACTATTATCCAAAGTGGTTGTGTTACGTTTTGTATTCTGATGAACAGTCAATGAGAGTTCCTGTGCTTCACATCTTCTTAAGATGATATTTCTTCCCAACTTCATCTATAGATTCAACACAGTTCCAGTCAAAATCCCAGCAAGTTTATTTTGTGGATCTTGGCCAAGAGATTCTGAAGTTTGTTTGGAGAAAAAAATGACCCAGAATAGCTAACAATACTGAAGAACAACAAAGGTGCAGGACTGATAGATACCACCTGACATTAAGACTTAGTATAAATCTCCAGTTTTCAAGACAGTGTCGTACTGGTGAAAAAATAGACAAATAGGTCAATGGCATAGAATAAGGAACCCAGAAGTAGACCAATACAAATATACTCAACTAGTGTTTGACGGAGGAACAAAAACAACTCAATGGACAAAGCGTTGTCTTTTCAACAAGTGGTGTTGGAACAACTGGATATCCACATGCAAAAAAAAAAAAAATCTAGACACAGTCTTTTCACAAAAATTAACTCAAAATATATCATAAACTTAATGTAAATGTAAAACACAAAATTATAAAATTTCTAAAAGATAACATATAATAAAAATCTAGGTGACCTTGGGCGTGATGATCACTTTTTAGATACAATTCCAATAGCATGATCCATGAAAGAAAAACTTGACAAATAGAAAAGCCTGAAAGATACTGTTAAGAGAATGAAAAGACAAGCCATGGACTGGGAGAAAATACATGTAAAACTCATGTCTGATAAAGGACTTGTTAAAAAAAATTTTTTTAATTAAAAAAAAAAGAATACATCTTTATTGGAGTATAATTGCTTTACAGTGGTGTGTTAGTTTCTGCTTTATAACAAAGTGAATCAGTTATACATACACATATATCCCCATATCTCCTCTCTCTTGCATCTTCCCCCCACCCTCTCTATCCCACCTCTCTAGGTGGTAGGACTTGTATTCTTTTTTTTTTTTTATTTTTTTTTGAGCAAAGGACTGGGAAGGTCTTTTTTTTCAAAAAAAAATAAATTATTTACTTATTTTTGGCTGTGTTGGTTCTTTGTTGCTGTGTGCGGGCTTTCTCTAGTTGCGGTGAGCAGGGGCTACTCTTCGTTGCGGTGGGTGGGCTTCTCATTGTCGTGGCTTCTCTTATTGTGGAGCACGGGCTCTAGGCGTGCAGGCTTCAGTAGTTGTGGCACGTGGGCTCAGTAGTTGTGACTTGCGGTCTCTAGAACTCAGGCTCAGTAGTTGTGGCGCATGGGCTTAGTTGCTCTGCGGCCTGTGGGACCTTCCCGGGCCAGGGTCGAACCCGTGTCTCTTGCATTGGCAGGCAGATTCTTAACCACTGCGCCACCAGGGAAGCCCAGGACTTGTATTCTTAAAACTCAATAAGAACACAACCCAATTTAAAAATCGACAAAAGATCTAACGGAGACTTCGTTAAAGAAGATATACAGATGGCAGATAAGCACATGAAAAGGTGCTCAACATCATATGTCATTAGAGAATTGAAAGTAAAATGAGATACCACTACCCACCTATTACAGTGGCTTGAGTCCAAAACACTGAGAACATTTACATTGACTTATTAACTTTGCTCAGAGAATGGCCTCTTGTATCAGTTTCTTTTGTTAATGGTAGTAGTGTTAAGTCTCACAAATATTTTCTATTGCCTAATTTTTTGATAAGAAAAAGGATGTAGTAAAGACACTTGCTTTTTGTTTTAAGTTTACCTATTTTATTACCCGGTTATCATATTTACTCCTGAGATGATTAGAATGACTGTGTGGTTTCTCTTGCCTTGTGTTATTTAATCTCAGAGATCAAGATTTTTATTTTATTTTTCTCCCCCTCACAAAATTAGGAGACTTCCTGTGATCAAAGTGAAGGTTCTTGTTCTTCCGAAGAAGAAGAATGGAAAAGTGATAGAAGAAGTGAAAGTGACAGTGAAAGTTCAAGGTACCTGTTTTTACTCGTTTTAATCTTCTAAGCATTTTGGTCATGACGTTGAATGGAATCATACTTGAATGGCATTCAAGGTGTAAGAGCTTCCAACTGTGGAACAACTAACATTGAGTTTTTAATACATTTAAAAGGAGAAGAAAGCTGGATTAACAGCTATTTCTATAGAAAATATTTTGGGTATTTATTTTGACTATGAAACATTTGAGCCAACAGTGTAAATATGTGTACTCAAAACATCAATTTAGTCTTGGGCTACCTTTATAAAGAGGAGTATACAACGTCTGTTTGGTAAAATCACCGTTAAATTTATTACTAGTTATTGCATACGTTGCTGAAAGTTCAATTAACTATCAAGAAGAAAAAAAAAAGGGACTTTTATTCAAGCCAAACTGAGGATTATAACCGGGAAGCAGATTCTCAGGAAGCTCTGAGAACTGTTCCACCTGTTAGAAGCTGAAGGCACGGTCATGTACATTTTCAAGACAAATGATGGTACATCAGGATGACATACTGCTACTTTATATAAAGTTCACCAAGGATACATAGTCCAGGTAAACTTTTACAAAGTGAGCACCAAGCACTGTGACCCCCTGCAGAGCTGGGAAAGAATGTTATTCTTTTAAGAAGTTAAATCGCTAACCTCAGAAGAAAAGAAAAATTTGATCTTTACTGTTGAGCAGGCACTCCCATCTTTGAGCAGCTCTGGTTAATGTGTAATGCCGATGCCTGCTGCACATTAGGGAGGGTGGAGGCCCAAATGGACACAGAGAGAGAATTTTATGTTTAATTTTTCTTGTCCTGCCTTAAAACATAAACTTTATTTTATCATACGTATTACCTTTTGTTTAGTTTTGGTATCCAAATTTCATGGGACTAAGATGTTAACATCTGTTCCTTGTCTTGGTAAATGTCAACTTTGTCCTGGCAGATGCTTCAGCCAGAAACCTGGATATCATTCTCTCTTCATGACATTTCCATCACCCAGTCTAGAAAATTCTCCCTTCTAAATATGACTCAGATTATTTTAATTTCCATTGATACTGTGCTTTATAGAACACCATACTATACTCCTGGCTTCCTTTCTTGTCTTCTTTTATTCCATTATGCTTAGGAGCTGGAGTGATTTCTAGAGCACTTGTCTACCCTTATTTTTGTTTGTTATCTTAATTTTAATTGCGGTGAAATATACAGAACATAAAATTCACCATCTTAACTGTTTTTAATTGTACAGTTCAGTAGTGTTAAGTACATTCACAGTGTTGTGCACCCAATCTCCAGAACTTATTTCGTCTTGCAAAACCGAGACTGTGTACCTACTAAACAGCAGTTCGCCACTCCACCCCACCCACCCCTGGCGACCACCACTGTCCTTCCTGTCTCTATATTCACTATCTTTTAATTTTTTATTTATTTATTTTTTGTGCGGTACGCGGGCCTCTCACTGTTGTGGCCTCTCCCGCTGCGGAGCACAGGCTCCGGACGCGCAGGCTCAGCGGCCATGGCTCACGGGCCCATACGCTCCACAGCATGTGGGATCCTCCCGGACCGGGGCACGAACCCGCGTCCCCTGCATCGGCAGGCGGACTCTCAGCCACTGCGCCACCAGGGAAGCCCTGTTCACTATCTTTTAATTCAGCTTTTCTTGAATTTTATTGTAAAAAGCAGATGGTCTTAAGATTTTTAAAGCAGTTCTTTTTATAACATAAAATATAATACAAAAATAATATTTGTAATAAATAGCTTTTGGAACTGTGTGTTTTATCAAGCCTGAGAGGTATGTGGTTGGACAGTGATGGCCCAGTAGAGGATTTTTATCCTTTTCTGTGTTTGCTAAAGCTGGGAGTGGGCCAGGGGCTAGTTTTCTAGTTTCCTGTTTGACTCTGCTTTTGCTCCAGGGTAGGTAAGGACTAGGCCCTCTCTGGGATCTTTTCTCATATCAGGGAGAGTCCCCCTGTTGGCAAGAAGCTTTGTCCACTTAGAGCTTTCTGTTCTGTTCTTTCCTTGTGGCTCTCAGTGTAGTCACTGACGGTTTCATTCCACTTACAAATTCTAGTCCCATTTTGGAGCCTCCTGCGGTTTAGGGGGTGTGCTGCTCTTCTGCACAGTCTCTCCTGCTTTCGTAGCTACACTTCACTTTGGGAAAGGGTATTATTAGTTGGCTCTAGATGTTGCCTTCTATGAGGTCTCATCCAAATTATACTTACAAAAAATTTCTCAGGCTTGTATCCTTTCCTAATTTCCAGTGTCAGTGAAGATTTTTCTCCTTCTCATGGTCTTTGGTCATTTCAGTATGCACTGATAGGGAGGGCAGTCGAATCTTCCCAGGATCTTTTCTTTCCTCCTTGTTGTCTTTCCTCTCCTAAGGTTGTAGGATGAATTTACTCTTAGGGCTTAGATTCTGGTTCTGTACGGCTGAAACTGTTTTCCTCCCTAGTGGCTCTTCATCTAGATATTCTGATTGGACGGCTGATGCAGGCATCAATCTGCAGCCTCCTTTACGAACGTCATCCCGTCGACGAATTACTCGGTTTCGTAGTAGTTCAGAGGACGAAATGTCTGCTGAGAATTTATCTCCTCCAAAAAGGAGACGAAAGAGAAAGAAAGAAAATAAGCCTAAAAAAGAGGTAAGAAAAGTATATCTTTAAAAATACCATCTATCTACACTTTTATAGTTTATGTCCATATTTAGAAATTAGAAATCTTTGGGAATTTGGAGGCTTTATTATTATTATTTTTTTGATGGATATACATCATCAGGAGTCAAACGTACAATGCAAACAAACTTAATTTTGGAAAATTTCCTTTGTTATTAAAACTTCTCTAATCTGCTCTGAGTTGGACTTGGCACTTATACCTTTCTGAATCTGTAACTTAGAGGGAAAGCTCTAGTTTGCTCGGATCCCCACCATAACTCTTATTTTGTCCTCCAGTTCCAACACCAAAAATATACTTCAAGGCATTTTAAGATCCTTTCTTCTTGTTTTGTCTGCTGTTGTCCTGTTTCCCATTTTCATTTGACATGTTCTCTCTTCATTCTTTTCTCCTAATTGTAATATTGCTATACCTTGTTCCATGTACAGTGCTACATGTGCTCCTGTCGTATAGGTAGCTGCTGTTATTTAAAGATGCTATGTCTTTGTATTAGGTATCTATTGCTGTGTAACAGATCATCTTGGAACTTAGCTTAAAAACAAGAAACATGTATTATTTCATGTTTTGATGAATCAGGAATTTGGGAACTGATTAGCTGGTTTTTGGCTCATGAGGTTGCAGTCATCATGTTAGCTTGGGTCACGGTTGTCTAAAGGTTTGACTGGGGGTGGATCTTTGAAGTTTATTAATGGGACAGTTGGCTGCTGGCCTCAGTTCCTCACCATATGGGCCTCTCCATAGGGCTGCTTGAGTGTCTTCTTGACATGGTAGCTGATTGTCCCCAGAGCAAGTGATCCAAAAATTAAGCAAGGGCTAAGCCTTTTATGACCTAGTCTTAGGAGTCGCACATTGTTACTTCTGCTTTTTTCTATTGGTTAGAAGTAGTTGGAGCCCACATCGAGTGGAGGATACTTAGGCTCCACCTCTTAAAGAGGAAAGGAGGAGTATCAAATAATTTGTGGTTATATTTTAAAATTACCAGTCTTTTTTTTTTTATGGTTTTTCCATTATGGTTTATCACAGAATATTGAATATAGTTCCCTGTGCTATACAGTAGGACCTTGTTGTTTATCCATCCTAAATATAATAGTTTGCATTTGCTAACCCCAAACTATGTGCTAATTCCATCCCTGTACCATCCCCCTCCCCCTTGGCAACCACGAGTTGTTCTCTGTGTCTGTGAGTCTGTTTCTAGTTCATAAAAGTTCATTTGTGTCATATTTTAGATTCCACATGTGATATCATATGTAAAGTTACCAGTCTTAGAACCTCAAATCAAGAGGAGACTCCCTGAGATGATTAGTCCGTGTTGAAATTCACTGTGGAGTCTTGGCAAAGCAGCCTTAGTGTGTTGAAGAGGATCCAGCTGGAAGTTAGACCCGCTTCATAGGATGTAAAGTGCTATGCAGAATCTGTTAGAAATTCAGGAGACACTAGGAAAGTGCTAGGTAGATCTACGATGCTTGCACAGCTGATAATGTTCCTATGTATGTTAAAGAACCAAATATGTATGCTGTTTAAAAAGTAATCATTAGGTGACATGCTAATAAAACAGCCATTCTGAATGGTGAAGTCTTTTGTTTTTCAATTAAACAGTGCGTGCCGCCCCTTTCTATTCTATTAAACTTTGTTCTCTTCCCCTTGGCAGAATCTGCGGAGGATGACTCAGGCAGAGCTTGCAAACATGGAACGTTTATATGAATTTCATCCTCCGGTTTGGATAACTGACACCACACTTCGGAAGTCTCCTTTTGTTCCTCAGATGGGTGATGAGGTGAGAGTAATAAAGTTTAAAAATGTGAATATGGAACTTAATATTACTCTTAGGTTTTTATATTTAAATGTATACTTCCCTTTTGTAGGTAATATATTTTCGACAGGGTCATGAAGCTTATATTGAGGCTGTCAGAAGAAATAACATTTATGAACTGAACCCTAACAAGGAGCCGTGGAGAAAAATGGATCTTAGGGTAAGACGATGGTATTATTAAATCATTAAACATTTAGCACATACATGTATAGTTGAATTATTTATAAATCCATTAAAAATAACCTACTGGAGGCATACTTCATTACTACCTTTCTGTTAATTTCCAACTTAAAAACATTTCTGCTATTATCTGCTAAGCATTAAGGTCTGGTCAGAAGACGTGCTTGTCACTGGGCACTCTGTACATTAGTGGAAGGCAGCTTGGCTATATATATCGTTAATCTTAAAACGATTGTACCCAGGACAGATTTTCAAGAGAAGTGTAAGTTTTCAAAGAAACCAATACAAATTGGAGAAAAAGGTTCGACGTCACATGTAATAAAATACAGAAAAAACTTTAGCTTCTCTGTACTTAACCAATTTTATGTATATACATATTTTTAACACTTGAAAGAAAATACCATGTTTTAACAAGTAGCAAAGGTTTAGGTTTGTTAATAGTTGTTCATCTTGGTGATAAGGGTGCATGAAACAGGTGCAGGCTCCCTATAGGGTATCTTGGCAGTTGGAATTGAAACTGAAAATACTTAGACCTTTTAAATCAGCAGTTCTACTTTTGGTAATTTAGAAAACAACCAGAAGTGCATACAAATTTAAATTCTGTATCACTGTTTATAAAAACAAAAAATTAGGAAAAATTCCAAGTATCCCACAGTACTGAACGAACCAAACCATGATATATTCACACATTTGGCTACTATGTAGAACCCACCATGTAACCGAGCCTTTTTAAATGTTTGTAGAATGAATGTTACGTATTCACAGTGTGTTACTAAGAGGAAAAATGGGATGTGAAATTCTGGTTTTGGTTATGATAAAAATTTAAAGACATGTGGTCAACCAAAATAAATACATTAAAATCTTAGTGGTGATTACATGTAGAGTAGTATTACAGGTGATTTTTAATCTTTATACTTCATATTTTTGATACTTTCATTAACTGTTAGAAGATGAGAAAACTCAACGGCTCTACTTCTTTGAATTTGGCTTTAGATACATTCAAATTTATGTCTCTTTCACTTATTACTGTGTACCTGAGGACAGCTGATCCTCATTTTTCTTGTTTTCTGTATTTACAAATTTGCCTTTCTCACTGTTTGCTATTTGTAACACCAAAATCACTACTTAAGGTGCTTTCTAGTCATTTGCAGACATGCACAGTGTGGCAAAAGATTTGAGTTGTCTGCCCAGCATGCTCTCAGCTGAGATTGAACAAGGTGACACTTCCTTCTTTTGAGCTCTCACATTGTACGTGTTCTTTTTGCAGTCTGTTCAGTGCCACATTAAACAGTTTTCAGATTTTTGTGCTTTTTTTTCAGATTTTTGTGTTGGTGACTTGCTGTTTAAGGTGGCCCCCTAGCGTAGTGCTAAAGTGCTGTCTTGTGTTACTATGTACAAGAAGGTGATGATGTACATTATGGAGAAAATCTGTGTGTTAGATAAGCTTCTTTTAGGCATGAGTCATAGTGCTGTTGGTTGTGAGTTCAGTGTTGATGACTCAACAACGTAGATTAAATGACGTGTCTCGGGCTTCCCTGGTGGCGCAGTCGTTGAGAGTCCGCCTGCTGATGCAGGGGACACGGGTTTGTGGCCCAGTCTGGGAGGATCCCACGTGCTGCGGAGCGGCTGGGCCCGTGAGCCATGGCCGCTGAGCCTGCGTGTCCGGAGCCCGTGCTTCTCAACGGGAGAGGCTACAACAGTGAGAGGCCCGCGTACCGCAAAAACAAAAACAAAAAAACAAAAAAAAAAATGATGTGTCTTTACATAGAAATTCACATTACACAAGATACTATCTTAATTAGGTGACTGAAATGTTACGACTGGGGGCTTGTAGCCACCTAGCCTTGTATTCCCTCCAGGAGCAGTGGTTCAGTGTTCACTGGGAACTCACTAATTCATCATTTTGGGTGGCACTATAGAATAGTAAGAATGCTGCAGATAATGAGAACCAACTGTATTTTTAGCACTTTGTTTGGCACATTATAACAATAATATTTTGTGCAGTGAATAAATGGATGAATCATCTCATGTTCTTAGTATTAAGGAAACAGGTATTGGGGGAAGGCTAATTACAGTATAATGAGTAGGAGGCTCTATCATGGTAGGAAGTTTCTCCCATTCCCTGTCTTACCCCTACTGCCTGGAATAGGTCACGGCACATAGATCTTCAACAAATATTTATTGAAATGTATTAGGTAGAAATTTAATGTCAAGTTTTGGAAGAATAATAAGCCAAACACTTACATATTTTGATTTGCATAGTACAAAGTTACATAAATGAAAATGTTTCTCTAGGAAGAGAAGAAAGCCAGAAGGAAATTCTGATTGTGCACAGTGGTTGTGTTTAGATACTGAGCTGATGGGTGATTTGTGTGTTCCTTCTTATACTTTTTTTGTGTTTTTTTCTAAAGTTGGTATATTCCTTACGTTAGAAACAGTGTTAAATACCGGTCTTCAAAAAGATGTGAAGATTTAGCAAAAACGATTGTAATTAATGGTAAATTAAACCCCTCTTCTGGTTTGGAATCCTAAATTGTGAGCTGACTTAATTTGGCAATTATGTGGAGAATTATAATCTTGAGGAATTGCTTTATTTTAACCATTTATTCTTTTAAAAATATCTGTTAAAGGATCAAGAGTTGGTCAAAATAGTTGGAATACGATATGAGGTTGGGCCCCCTACACTTTGTTGCCTCAAACTAGCATTTATAGATCCTGCGACTGGAAAACTTATGGACAAATCTTTCTCTATTAGGTATGTGTTACTTTTTAAAAAATGGAATTATTTAAATTTAGATTTTCCCTCTCGCTTATCAGCATGTCCTTTGCATTCAGCTGCAGGGTAAATAGTAGAGCCCTGTGGACAGCCCGAGATGTAAGTTGAAGTTCTGATAGATGGGACCCACTGGAAGTAAAAATACTGGCACTGCAGCAGCAATTAGGCGGGAGTGTGTTTTATACATTTTTCATGCCACTTAAATGTGTAGAGAGTTCTGGCCTGTAGTGGAAATTGCTTCCGCATTTGTTTTTGAGAAAATGTTAGAATAATTTGCTAAACCTGTGCTGTCCAGTATGGTAGCTGTTAGCGACGTGTGTCTGCCAAGTACTTGAACTGTCGCTAATTTGAATTGAGTGTGATGTAAGTGTACACATTGGATTTTGAAGGCTTGGTATGAAGGCAAAGAATGTAAAATATCTCATTATTTTGTATTGATTATGTGGTGAAACAATATTTAGGATATATTGGGTTAAATAAAATACACTTAAAATTAATTTCACTGGTTTCTTTTTACTTTAATAAGGCTAGTCAAAAATTAAAAATTACGTATGTGACTCCCATGGTATTTCTTTTGGACATTGCTGCTCTAGACTATAACCTGCTGTGCAGGAAATTTAACAGTCTTTTATTTTTGTTTAGATATCATGATATGCCAGATGTTATTGACTTTCTTGTATTGCGTCAATTTTACGATGAAGCAAGACAGAGGAACTGGCAGTCTTGTAAGTCTGTCCTTACTGAATTTTATATATACCCTGAGAAATGAATCTCTCATTTTATTGCTTTGATTTTGGTTGTGGTGCTGCTTATTATGGTGGATGCAAACATGTAAGTTCTGGAAAGAAATATAAGACTGCTAAGTATATTTTGCTTAGGGCTTGGTATGGTATGTGACAGTTTGGAAGGATGATTTCTTACTCCTGGAATATAGGCTAGAGTAGACCTTCTATTTCCTTTCAGACTTGTCCACACTGTATTACTTCCATCTTTAATGTGACACTGGTATAATTAACAAAATTACCTGTAGTGTAAAACAATAAGAAATTTGAAAAATAACACAATAATGTTCTGGTATGCCAGAATATCTTACCTTTGATAAACGTAACAACCCAGACTTAAATAGGTTGACTTGAGGTAACCATTCCTTTAAAACATAAAAAATTTGTGTAAAATTTAGGCTTTATAACCATGCATTGTATGGGTCGACAGAAAAAATAAAATCACCTAAAGGTAGGCACTAACTTTTGAATGTGGCTTTTTGAATGTGGTTTCAATGTGGTTTTCATGGTGACTATTGAAGGCAGGCTGGTAGGCTCACTTGCTTAGACTTGGGTAGGTTATTAATCTCCTCAGGACATAATTGATGACTCTAATTAGGCCAGCAACTGTAATAGTTATTTCACAGGTGTATATGTATTACTTTCCAGTATGTAATGCTGTCTGGGGAGCTCATGTATTGAGTTTGACTTTAGTCACCTAGGAGAATGAAAAGTCATTCTCTTTTTATCAATTTTAGTGAAATACTAAGTTCTACCTAAGCTGTGTCAGCTGGTGTACACATTCATAAATGATGTTCAGACCTCATTAATTTTCCTAATTCCTGCTGCCTT